TTCATATATTTTAAATGTTAATATAAAAATATTTAAAAACAGAATAAAATATCATTTTAACTTTATTTTATCATTTGTTTTAATTTAAAATTACATTTAAAAATAACTATTATAAAAATCAGACCTCACAAAAAGAAAAACAATTCCGACCAAAAAAAATATAAAAATAGTAAATCTATCACACGTAATAATTTTTAGGCTTAATTATACCATTTTAATTTTATTATTAGTAAAATATTTAATAAATCTCTCAATTTTTAAAGAAACAACAATGTCACATTTTTTTCATTGAACTACGCCCAATATAATTTATAATTACACATAGTGACAATTTATTAAACTCATGGCGTAAATTTTAGTTGAGGAGAGATTCTTGTTGTTACACTTTTAAAACATAAGGAACAGATTTCATAAAGTGTATTAAACCTTTTATTGACAGAGGAATAGAATTGAAAGAGAAAATAATAACAAAAAAAAAGATTATAATTTTTAATTTGAAGACAATATAAAATTATTTCATTTTATGCATGTCAGTGTTTTATATTATCCTCTAATATCATATATTAATAAAATAGTTTAGAATATAGAGAAGGTAGATCAGTTAATCTAACTCATGTTAATGCTGCTTGTGTTTGAGTTACTTTTTAGTTGGGCCGAGTCCTCTCAGACACATAAATGGGCCTATAAATATACAGTATCTAAATCTTAATTTGTTTTTGAAAACAATATTAAGTCTTAATTTGTTTTTGAAAACGATATTAAGATTAAAAGATGGACACTCATGTATAAGTATAAACTAAAAGATTTAATTATATAATTTCATTGGAATAAAGGATTTTTAAATTTTAATCGATCATGGATTCTTCTAAATTATAGAACTTTGTAATAAATATGTTAAAAATCACATTTAAGATGATTTTTAATTGAGTGATGATGCTTTATACTGTCAATAATGTAATAAAGTTCTACTCTTTAATTCGTTTACTCTTAACCAATGCAATGACACTGGATATTTTGAATGGTTGATTTTGTATTGTTATAACTATTACTACATTACCCACTTTAGTGTATATCCAATAAAAACAACTTGCTTCACACATTTTAAAAATAAATTTGTAGTTAGTCATATCACACTAAACAACTCATGTGCTAATTTTGTTCTTAATAATAATAAAAAAACTCTAAAGAACTTCAAGCAACTCACATTAAAAAGTGTAATTTGTGATCTCTATAATTCGAAAAAAAAAATTTATAATTCTAAAAGAAAATTTTTTTATTCCTAAGAAATCGTTTCTAATAAAAAAAAAACAGAAAAAAAATTCTAACTTAAAAGAACAGAATATGCTTCATGGATTGATTCTAATGAAACATTCATTGAAAAAACAGTTTATTCAACTTAAAAAACCAGGATGATCTTGCTTTTTTGGACATGCAGAATGAAATATGTGCTTTAAAAAATATCTATACTGGCACTTTGATCAGGATTTAACGACTCTATTTAAATGATGAAATTCCAATAGCAATCACTTCTACGTCAACAAATGCAACAGCAATAGCAATAGCAATAGCGCACAATTGTGAGTCCAATATTAAGCGCAGAAGCAAATGATTGTTCGAAGAAAGAGGGAATATGTTAGAAGGGTAAGAGTAAATTTGAATAACTATATTTGCAATATGGCCTTTACTGTATTTGTTTTATTTTGGTGAATATATAAGATTGGCTCTATTTTCACCCTGTTTAATTCAAACTGGCTTGAAAAAAGGTATAAGATTGGCTCAAAGAAGACGGAAGAGTCTCATTGGTTGGTTAGCATAGTATAGGAGAAAAATAACATTTTTTTCTATTTCTTTTTTCAATCATAATCATTTTTTCATTCACAATGTTCGTATTCAAAACCTTACTAAAAAGACCAGCATACAATTTCATACGTACTAGTGACATATTGATAAAATAATAAATTGTTACACTCATACATATTAACAGGGAAAAGAAATAGAAAAATAAAATCTCAAAGATACATCTTTTATTAAAATCATAATAGTTTAGCCAAACAAACTTCTAAAATTATGAATTAGTTTGTTTTTTCCTCCAAATTCTCCTGATACTAGTATTGGAGAGGAGACAAAAAAAATGGAAGGGAAGAAGATTTTGTCCTCCTATTTTTCCTTCCATTGAAATTTCTCAAATATATATATATATATATAACACTAAAGGAAAGAAGTATGAAAAAAAAAGTTAAATTTTGAGAGATATGTGATGATGTTAAAATGTGTATTATATATATACTTAGCACAGCACTCCGTTTCAAGGACTCCTTAATATTATCGTACCACCCACATATCACTCTTTACAAGGGTATGAAATGTGCAGCGATGAATCAATCAACTACAAAAAATCTACGTGTAAAAGATGCTTTTATACAATGGAGGCAGCTTGAACACTACAAGTTTTCGGTGTCATTTTATTCTGAAAAAGATTCCACCATTTATCAGCAACCAGACAAGGGACTGAATGAAAAACCAGAGACTGGAATTGAGGATCTCTTGTGTCTTAACACGCAAAGTCTCATTACATCACTTCATACAAATAATTGGCAGGCAAATTCCTATCAAAAGGGCATAGAGCGTAGTCAGTAGAGACAAAATGAAGAGTCTAAGGATAATAACTTGCACCAAATTGTCTCAGAATTTGGAAGAATACCAAGCAAAAGTGCTTATTGTATCTCTCATAATCTAAATTCGCAAAAGAACACAACATTTCAACGAAGAACTAATGCTATGGGAAACTATAGCAGGATTTCCTAATATATAAAAATTTCTACCGTATCTAAAGTTCTGACTTCGCAAATTTTGCTTAACTATCTATTGAGTAATCAACAAGGTGAACACATATTGGAGACTATTTGATAAAATTTCCAACCATAAAAACAGCAGCTCTTGTGATAACATTGACATTAATAGCGAGGAATTGGTAAATTCCTAGATGAACCTAATAGCTAACTGTTGGTCTTGGTGGAAAGAAAAGGAATCAAATTTTTTTACTCTTGTTATCTTTGGTATGATCAGGAAAAGAATCATTCCACAAGTGGCCTCGGTGGTGGTGTGATGGTGGCAAAAAATGTTTTTGTTATCTAAAGAAAATAAGTACAGTGTAATGACAATTAAACTGATTCCAGGAATGGTATTCCCTTATTCTGAGGGAATGACATTCTCAACACAAAGACCAATTCACTATATAAAATTTTGAGTGGACAAACAGAAGGCAGAGACCTTGCTGTCACTGGGTGCACTTTACTCAAAATATCAATCTGTCTGAGAAGGCCGTATACAAGGGGTTGGCTTTATTTGACAATATGAATAAATCAAGCTGAAGATGATCTGGAATGGAAGTTGCTAAGCTGTCACTGGATTGATGATGCATTTGATTAAAATTCTTATGCTTACTCGAGCTTAATAAATAACTCGAGTACATCAAATCTAGCCAAGGGATCTTAGGAATGCTAAAATGAACCAACTTAGGTATGAAGAAATTGTTCCTGGCAGAGAGGTAAATAGAACGATTCCTCTTGCACATAATGACAACACCAGACACAAAGACAAAGCTTTCCAGATCAAACCAGACCCTGTCCTTCCAGCCCTCTTCCGAAAACTAGCATCTCAAATCTTTTTAGAGGTACGGCTCATCCCCAACGAATAGACAACATACATACTAACTTAAAAACGTTCAATATATAGTGACACTACGCTTTTTTCCAGTAACCGTTGTTAATTTCAAAATTATTCCACAACAATAAGTTTCAAATCCTTCACACACTTCTAATGATGGAATTAGAATAAAAATAGCTGCATCAAATAGAACCAACTTGGACAAATTTGAATGCACAAAATATATTTTCATGGGATCAAAGCTTACATATTGCCCTCATGAACAAACTGTGGATAATTATTTTATCCCCAAATTACATTAATTTATTTTTCTAATAATAAATGTGACAAATCAAATTACAAACTACACATATGAAGCAATAAAATATTTGTAATTCTAAGTAATAATTATTTATAAATAGAACCAATTACAATGAAGAAAGACATAAATACCATTAATCTTACATTTAAAGATAATTACAACTCATAATTACAATATTCTATTGTGTGTAGCTTGTAATTAAAAAGAAAAAAAATCAATTTATGATTTATCAAGTTTATTATTAAAAAAATAAATTAATGTAATTTAGGAGACAAAATAATTCCTTATTTAGGCAAACAACAAACTTTTTTTTTTCATTTCTTTTCTAACAAAAATTAAATGCAAATCCTTAAGAGTTTTTCGAAAATTGCTCTCTAATCCAAAAGGGTTTTGATTGAATGAACTTATCCACAAATACTCATAAAAAGAAAAATAATAAATTTCTCCATAAATTAAAATTAGTTAATATATAAACTTGTTTGCAGTAAAAACTTTCTGATATTAATTTCTCCAAAACTAATTTTACTTTATGATTTTTTTTTTAGTTTTCTTAATTATTTTCAAGTTTATACAAGAATATGTCAATGTTAGTTTCACCCAAATAACTAAAATACAATCTTTTATAAGCAAACTACCGAAATGAAACTTTGATTAAAAAGAATAACGCAAAAGCATATAAAAAACCACATCTAAAGTTTGTCGTATATTTTTTCTCCTGGAAAAAAATAATTAAAACCGTAAAGACTAAAGAGAAGGCACAACACCGAATTCCAGAGTCTAATTTCAATTATCAACATTTTTATTTCATACACCTAAGCGTATCCTTAGATTGCAATTTCAAGTTCATCAAACGGAGAAACGCACACTCCAATTGCTCGAAATCGAAAAGCAAGTATTCGTTTAGTTGAGACAAACGCCGGTAGCATTCTGATGTAAGTGAAGTTATACGGTGCGTGCGTGAGAGTATTCAATCAACGAATAAAACAGAATGAATAAGAAAACAAGTGGAAGGAAATTCAAATAGAATGAATACCTATTGAGTTGAGTCGGAATAGGATTGGTAGTAGTAGTCGAAACGGGAAGAATCATCACCATCACCATCATCGTCGTCGTCGGAATCAGTAGGGAAATAGGAATAGTTGGAGTGAGGAGCGCAGAAGAAGGAGTAGAGACAGAGAGCGAGTTGTTGCAGAGGAAAACAGCAAACCAGATCCAGAATCTGGTCACTGCTCAGAGGCTCCGCAATGCATTCGCACGCTTCCGCTGACGCACGCGCCACCGCCAACACCACCATGCTGTTCCACACCATTTCCGATTCTTGTTATTCCCTTCCCTCTCACCATCACAATCAATCCATCATAACCATCTTCATCAACATCCAAAGTTGACCTAGTCTCTTATTTCATCCTCCCTCTTTACTATTCCAGTTTCCTCCATGGAGTTGTCATTGACTAGTCTCAATGCTCGCATATTAATTAATCACTGTAGATTCTAATAGCTGTTTATTATAATAATTAATTAAATATAATTAAAGGAGGAGCGATGTATTTTATTTTATTTTAAGCTTATAAAATTTGAATTGAAGTTTTGATTGTAAAAAATTGTCGTATTAACACCTACACTTTAAAAAATAGAAATGGCCGTGCAATGTATGTTATTATGGTAATATAATTTATTTTAATTTCGTAAATGAAAACTTTGATATTTATAATTTATTAAATATAATTTGATTCTGAAAGAAAAATAATCATGCATTATTAATAAATTGTTAAAGATAAATAATGGTATAGTTGTTAAGCTTGTTTTATTAAACAAAAAGTTATATAATCCGTACAAGAAAATAGAAAACACGTAAAAAAAATCCATGATTAGGTCTTATCTACTTATGTGGAATAAATAAATATTAAATAATCCTATTCTTAGATAATATATTTAATAGAGCATATTTAAAGAGAGTTTTTAATTAAAATTGTTTAAGAATAAAATTAAATATTTTATTATGCGTTCCATAGTTAAGTTGTTTAAAACATGGTTAAAGTTACTTATCCAAACAACTTTTTTTCAATTTTAAACAACTTTCTCAACCTTTAAGTAACTTAGATGTATGACCCATAATAAAATATTCACTTTTATTCTTAAGCAATTTTTGGTAGCAACTCCAATTAGAAATGCTCTTAAAAACTAACAAGAAGGAATGTGCACACAACGACATTCTTCCAACAAACCCTCCCTTAAACTGGACTGTTATTTAGAAAAACATAGTCAGTTTATTCCTTCAATGCTGCACTTCCAAGTTTTTCTCTTAATTTTACGAATACTTCAAGTTTCAAGGCCTTGGTCATGATACTAGCTAGCTGATCCTTCTTACCACAATGCACTAATTCAATTTCTCCTTGATTTGACAACTCTCGAAGAAAGTGAAATCAAACATGAATATGCTTACTCTTACCATGCATGACTGAATTCTTTGAAAGTTTAATCATTGAGTTGTTATCACAAAATATAATGCACTTACTTTGTTTAATCCCAATATCTCAAGTACACGCATCATCCAAATACTTTGGGCAATGCACGCTGCTGCAAAAATGAATTCAGCCTCAATGGTGGATAGAGATATCGCAAACTGCTTTTTTGAACTCCAAGCAACTAAACCATTTGACATCTTAAAAACATACTCTGAAGTACTCTTTCGGTCATCAAGGTCTCCATTATAATCACTATCACAAAAGCTATCAAATTCTCATCTTTTCTCTTTTATAGAAGAGCCCTAAGTCAGTGGTTCCTTTCAAATAACGCAAGACCCTTTTCACAACTTGTTGATGCATAATTGTTGGAGCTTCCATGAAACGAGCCACTAGACTCACAACATACATTAGTCTGGCCTAGTGGCAGTTAAATGCATAAGATTTCCCACCATTTGTTTATAAGTGGTAGCATCAACCTTCAACCCTCCAGCATCCTTTGTGAGCTTGCACCCTAGAACAAAGAGATTTTTGACTGGTGAGAATTTTGTAAACCAAATCTATCTAGGACTTCATTAGCATACTTCTTTTGACAAATGAAGATTTCATTTGAAGTCTGTGTGACTTCTACACCAAGAAAGTATCTCATGTATCCTAGGTCAGTCATCTTAAATTCCCTTTTCATTGACCTCTTGAATTCTTTAAACATTTTCTCACTGCTTCCGGTAAAGTTGAGGTCATCCACATACAAGTTCACAATAAGAACATTTGCTTCCCCTTCCTTCTTTGTAAACAAAGTGTGATCACTAGTGCTTCTTTCAAAATCCTCCTTGACAAAGTATGATTTTTTCTTGCTGAACCATGCTTGAGGGACCTGCTTAAGCCCATAGAGAGCTTTCTTGAATTTATATACTTTGTCTTCTGCACCTTTTACCCTCAAATCCCTTTGGTTGTTCCACACACACTTCCTCTTCTATCTCTCTATGTAGAAATGCATCTTGACATCAAGTTGATAAACTTTCCATCTGCGACTAGCTACTATGGACAAGGTTAGTCGAATGGTATCCCATCTTGCCACATGTGCAAATACCTAAGTGTAATCGATTCCTGCTTGTTAAGTTTACCCCTTGACTTTTGAATGTTCCTTAAATGTGGTGGGATCATTTGTAATGAACATAGCAAGCTGTTACATTTCCTGGGTGAGATGATCCACTCCATCTTCCTCTTTAGAGAATGCGTCTCTAGACTCATAGTCTCTCATCCATATTGGCGGCCTTCTTCTCCTTGCATGGTCATTGATTCTTTTATCTCCGATAGCTTCTTTTGATCTCTCACTTTCTGGTTGATTACCAATGTCATAATCTACACTTTTCTTATTCTCTTCATTTTCTTCGTACATAAGATCAAGAGAATCCTCTTGGTTTCGGGATCATACATTCGAGAAGCTTTGGATTCTTCACTGACTCCCATGTAAACACACTTGATACTTTTCTCATCCAATTTCTTCCTAGTGACATCAGAAACATGAACATGTCCTATACATCCAAACACCTTGAGGTGTTCTACTGATGGTTTTCTCTCTGTCCAGGCTTCTTCAGGAGTCATGTTCAACAAGGCTGAGGTTGGACATCATCCAGAACATGAGTGGCCAAGTTTGCTGCTTCCGACCAATACTCTTTTGGAACATCTCGTGCTGCAAACATACATCTCAACATATTCATCAAGGTGCGATTTCTTCTTTTGGCAACTCCATTCTGTTATGGTCAGTAAGCAGCAGTGAGTTGTCTTGAAATTCCAGAAGTGTTGCAATAGTCATTGAATTATGATGAAGTGAACTCTCCTCCTCTATCAGTGCGTAAACACGTTATGCTGTATCCTGTTGCTTTCTCAACCAATCCCTTGAACCTTTTGAATGTATCAAAGGCTTTGGACTTGACCTGTAAAAAATAAGACCACATTTTCCAACTATAATCATCTATAAAAGTAAGGATGTATCTCTTATGACTATAAGATTCAGGGGTAATGACACCACATATGTCTGAATGAATAAGTTGTAGAGGTCTGGATGCTCTCCAAGTGCCATTTTTTTTTAAAGGATCATGATGTTGCTTTCCAGTCATACATATTGTGCACAACTGGGACTGATTCTTCAATATTGGCAGGCCTTGAACCATCTTCCGGTAGGCAAGAGTCCGCAGTCTTTTCATGTTGAGATGACCAAATCTTTCATGCCACAAGTTTCTGACATTCTCAGAGGTTACATTAAAACAAGCTGCTTTTGATACATCAGTAGACATGGGGAATAGATGCCAAAAACACAAACATACGATTTGCAAATATCATAGTTCGTATTATTAGACCTTTAATATCATGATAAATGCTACAACATCCATTCTTAATTAGTATAGACAGATTTCATTCCTGAAGTTACCCAATGCTAAGCAAGTTTGATTTAGGATCATGAATGTAAAATACCTTTGTGATGACCATAACTCGTACATCTATTTTCATTCGAATGTTGCCTTTTCCCATGACATCCAATTTGGAGTCATTTCCCAGCTTAATTCTCTGTCTAAATGATAGATCAAGGTCAGTGAACCACCTTTTTTCTCCACTCATGTGATTGCTACATCCAGAATCAAGAAACCATATGTCATCTTGTGTGGCTCCTTGCATTTCCACATATGACATGAGTAACATCTCTTCTCCTTCGTCTAGCTCTATGTGATATGCATAATTAGCATAAGCGGAACATTCATACTGGAAGTGTCCCGACTTGTGACATCGATAACAATCAACTGTGGATTTGTCGAATTCTCTCCCTCGACCGCGACCTCTACCTTTACCTTTGTATCCACCACGTCCTCTGCCTCTGTTACCAGATTGTTCATAAGTTTGGGAAGCAGAGTTGCCTTCTATGACTTTTAATGCTTGTTCAGTAACTTCCTTCCGTTTTATCTTCTGTTCATGGACAAGCAATGAACTATGCAACTCATCTACTGTCATCGCATCGATATTTTTGGACTCTTCGATTGAACACACAATATAATTGTATTTGTCACATAGTGTGCACAAAATTTTCTCCACAATATGTCCATCATTCATGGTCTCTCCTGCTGCTCTCATGTCATTTACAATGATCATGAATCTAGAAATATAATCATTGACACACTCCCCATTTTGCATTTCGAGAATTTTAAAATCCCTGTGTAGCCTTTGGAGTTGAGCTCGTTGAACACGAGTATTCCCCTAGTGCTTTTTCTTTTTGAATCCCAGAGTGCTTTAGAGGTGACTTTGTTGGTGATTGTTTTCAAAATATTCTTGTCAATAGATTGAAACAAATAATTATTTGCCCTCAAGTCCTTCAGCTTTTGCTCTTCCAAGGAGCGACGTTTTGCACCGGTGAATGACTCTAGGGTTTTAGGCTCTTGATAGCCTTGCTCCACCATGCTCCAATATTCTTTTGATCTTAGTAGGTTTTTCATTGGTATGGACCAATTATCATAATCTCCATCAAACTTTGGGATACTAAGGAAGCTATTGTCATCAGCCGTGGTTCTCTCCTCTGTGTTTCACTTTTCACTCGTGCGTTTCCCACATATTTTCTCTCTCTTGTGTGTTTCGCTTTTCTCTCTCGTATCATGCTCGTGTATTAGCTCTGATACCACTGTTAAAACTAGATAATATTGTAGCTTTTAAGCCTATTTTATTAATGAAAGAATGACATTATATAACCCGTACAAGGAAATGGAAAAAGCATAAATAAAGGGATCCATGACTAGGTCATGACTACTTATGTGAAATAAACAAATAACAGAGAATCCTATGTCTAAATAATAGATTTATTAAAAACTAACAAGAAGTAACGTACACACAATGACATTCTTCCAACATAAATGAATTTATATATTAATTAATAAATTGAAAGAAATAAAGTGACATTTTTTTCTCTACCTTTGATGAATGTATAAGTTCATTTCTAGAAAATACTAATTTAAAAAACATGTAAAAAACTCGTTGAATTGAACGAGAATTCGACGAAGTTGCAAACATTTATCATCACTCCTAAATAAAACAATTTTAGTTTAGTAGTTAAAATAAAATATATGACAATAATTTATCCTTCAACTTAATTACAACTAATCTCGTTTTTATCTTGTATTAATATAATGTGTGCATGTTTTTTTATAATTTTTTTCTCTTTAACCGTGTGTGCATGTTTTTTTTCCTTTTTATTACATCGTATTATAAATTATTTTTCTCATATTTTTTTAATTCTTTAAATATATGAATTATAATAACTCTTTTTCTAATATTATGTATTTTTTTTATAGTTTTCTGATTTCAAAATCACCTATTAATACTCGTGATTTCAAATTGGTATGATTTCTAATTTATGGGAGGATCACATTTATTTTTGGGAAACAAAATCCTAAACTCAATTTATAACAAAAAAAGTCAACCAATTGATAGTGACCACACACATAACTTGCAAGAAAGTCTGAATTTTGGTTAGGATTTGGACAAATTGTTTGACAGCCAACTAAGAAAATGGATAAAAAATGCATAGTTTTAATGATGATTTTGATTGTAAACACAATATCAGTGTTTATTGAATCAAAACTTGTTTATCACGGGAAAGTTGGTATTGATCTAAGTGTACCGTTCTCTGCGTGTTTAGAAGGATGCATGAAGATATGTATGATGATCAAAGATGTTCAACCTTCACAGTGCGATAAAGGATGTCAAATGGTATGCACACAGTTGCAAGGCAAAGGTTCTATCTTCTATAAGAAAGAACAAAAAGTAATAAAAAACTAATCTTTCTCAAGCTCTTTTAATTGTTCTAGTTCAACACTTTTGATTAAGATTACATTGTTTAACTTTTTATCATGATACAATTATTTTCCTTTTAGGAAGAATTTATTGATAATTTTGTGTTATTGAGTAATGATATATCACAACCAAAACGATAAAAGCAACCAATTTAAAATCTATTTTATAGATACAGGTGAGAATACAAATATTAAATAGTCACAATTTTTATATTATTAATTTATTTTAAATATATATATTTTTTATAATTTATTTCATTCCTTAGTAATGTACAAATGTTTTTTCTCTATTTATTACACCGTATCACAATTTTTTTCTTTCATTTTTTTAGTTTTTAAATATATAAATTATAATAATTATTTTTTCTTATATTATGTATTTTTTTTTATAGTTTTCTGATTTTGAAATCACCCATTAATACTCATTATGTATCATGATTGTGATTTTAAATTGGTATGTTTTAATTTATAAGAGGATCATAATTGTTTTTGAGAAAACAAAACCCTAAATTCAATCTATAACACACACATAACTTGCAAGAAAGTTTGAATTTTTTGGTAGGGTTTGGACAAATTGTTTGGCAGCCAACTAAAAAAATGGATGAAAAATGCATAGTTTTAATGACGATTTTGATTGTATACATATATTGGTGTTTGTTGAATCAAAACTTTTTTGTCACATAAAAGTTAGTATTGATATTAGTATATCGTTCTCTCAATGTTTGAAAAATGTCCGAAGATATATATATGATGATTGTTTAACCTCTATAGTGTGGCAAAGGATGCCAAATGGTATGCACTTGCAAGACAAAGGTTCTATCTTGTATAAAAAATAAAAATAAAAATAAAAATAAAATAATGGAAAGCTACTCTTCATCATCCTCTTCTAATTTCCCTAAAACACTTCTAATGATGATTAGATTGTTTAACTTTTTGTCATGAAGAAAAAATTAGTTGTAACTTTGTTTATTGAATAATGATATATCACAACCAAAAACATAAAAGCAACAATTTTAAAATCTCTTTTATAGATATAAGTGAAAATACATAGGTTAAATAGTGTCAATTTTTATATTATTAATTTATTTTAAATATATATTTTTTTATAATTTTTTCACTCCTTAATAATGTACGTATGCTTTTTCTCTATTTATTTTAGTATCATAATTTTTTTTGTCTAGTGTTTTTCTTAATTTTTTAAATATATAAATTATAATAATTATTTTTTTCCTACATTTTCGTATCTTTCTTTTATATTTTTCTAATTTTAAAATTATCCATTAACGAGAAAATCAAAACTTATTTATCACCGGAAGATTAGTATTAATTAAATATACTGTTATTTGCATATTTGGAAGAATGTATAAAGATATATATGATAATCAAATATATTCAATCTTTGTCGTGCCACAAAAGATGTCAAATGATATGTACACAGTTACAAGACTATGGTCCTATCTTCTATTAAAAAAAAAGAAGAAGAATGAATAATGAAAAACTAATATTCCTCACCCTCTTCTAATTTTCCTAGTTCAATTATGATTACATGGTTTAACTTCTTATCATGACACAATCCTCTCTTAGAAAAAAATTATTTGCAACTTGTTTATTGAATAATGATATATCTCACCCAACAAAATAAAAACAACCATTTGAAAATCTCTTTTATAGATATGAGTGAGAACACATATATTAAATAATCACAATTTTAAATTATTAATTTATTTAAAATATATGTTTCTTATAACTTTTTTTCACTCCTTACTACTATAGGTTTATTTTTTATCAATTTATTACACCGTATCATAATTTTATTTTTTCACTTTTTTTTTTATATTTTTTAAATATATAAATTATAATAATTATTTTTCCTTTATTACGTATTTTTGTATAAATAATGTATGACATTTCTCTCTCAAATGACAAAAAAATTATTATGTAAAAAAAAATCTTATTATATAACTAATGAAAACATAATTTTCTTCTATTTAGGATGTGCATGATTTCTTTGTATTTTTCTTTTTATAGATTATGTAAATATCAATTTGAATTATTTCATGTTGAACAGAACTTAACTTTGTAAATTTTTTTATGGTAAAATTACAATAAGTGTGACTTAACTGATAACTATATTTACATGGGGAGACCGAAATTCAATTTTTACATGACACATTATTTAAAAAAAAAAAAAAGAACTTTTTTAAGTATAATTAAGCTAAAGAATAAATTAATCTCAAAAGTAACTGAAAGAACAACCTATAAACCAGAAATTGAAAGACATTAATTTTAATACATTTTGAATTAGATTTTGTGGTGGCATATTAGTTAAATAGATTTTGAATTAATAAAATAAAATGATATTAATAAATGTGATATTAGATTCTAATTATGCTACTGATGCATAATCCATAATCCAAACCATTTCATTTCAAATTTAAGAGGATCAATATAAATTGTAAAAAATAAATGCAAAAATAAACGTTTTGCATGAGATTAAACAATAAGAAAAATAAGATTGCTTGCTAAATAACTTAATTTTTTTAATAAGAATTTAAACTCGTTAGTTGAACGAGAAATCCATGAAGTTACAAGCATTTATCATCACTTCTAATTAAAACAATTTTAGTTCAGTAATTAAAATAAAAAAATATATGGCATTTAAAATAAAAAATATATGACATTTATCCCTCAACTTAACTACAACTAATTTCATTTTTATCTTGTATTAATCTAATACTTATTTAAAAACAAAAGCTATTCAAAATTTTAATATTTACAAGCAATATTTTTTAAATTATAAATCACAAGACATTTTGATATCTTATTTAAAGGTATCAAATGAATCCTCCTTAAATTAAGAACTTATTAATATTTTATATTAATAAAATTTATTTGGTGATAAGCGTAATTTTTAAAATTATTAAAGTTATTATTATTATTATTATTATTATTATTATTATTATCAATATTATTAAATTTATAATTATTTTTATCACACAAATATATATAATTGTTATATTCATTTTGTTTCAAAATATAAATAATGAAAAAATTATTACAAAAGTTAATATAAACATTATTTATCATTATTTACAAACATCATATATTTATAAATAAATTTTTATTATATATTTTGAAACTTTATTATTATGATTATTTTGATACAATAATACTAAATAAAATTAATATTTTTGTTAACATCAATCAATCATATCTTATATTTACATAGTATTTATTCTCTTTTAAATTTGACATAAGTAAATCTTTATTCGAATCATGAAAGTATTAAATAAATAATTTAAATTAAATATGAATTTTAAATTGCGGGGATAGCTCAGTTGGGAGAGCGTCAGACTGAAGATCTGAAGGTCACGTGTTCGATCCACGTTCACCGCAAGAGTATATATTTTAATATTTACATTATTACCAATCCAATATCAAAGCTCATACCTTTCCTCTTAAATTACCCAAACTACACTCTCATTTAATTATTCTTTTATGAAAATCTCATTATTATTTAATTAATAAAATAAAAAGTTTACGAAAGATGAACTATATTAATTTCTATAATAACCTTAATTAAAAAAATCTTCCTAATTACAATTGTTTTATTATATTATTAATCTAAAATACATATCAATTTTATATATAATGAATTTTAATCAAATTATTTTATATTTCCAATTAAACATGCTCTCCTAATCATGTTTATTGCATTCAAAAGTCTTGAATGTGAGATTCCTTTTAGATATTAAACTTAGACAAAGTAAATATTTTATAAGAAAAATATAAAAATGAAATTAATTTTTTATAAATTAAATAACTTTTATGTAAATTAATTATAGAAAGTCTCTCGTATAATTTTTTAAAATTTTTATTTCAATAATTAAAAATAAAGTTTAGATTACGAAGACTTTTTTTTTTCAAATATTTAACTTTCAAAAGTGCTTTTGAAAAAGCTGGATCACTCATGATAAAATACCATGTACGAAACCTAGATATTAGGTGTAGATCGGAGAAACAAGAAACACAAAATTTAGGTTTTTGTCATAAGCAACAGTAGAGGAAAACATTGGATTTTTTTTTATCGTCTTATTAAATTTATAATTTATAAATAACATTTTTTTATCCATATTTATCTAATTAACATCATTTTTAATTTTTTTTAGTAAGATATTATTAAATTTATAATTCAAAAAATAACATTATAACTATTAAATTTATAATTCAAAAATAACATCATTATATCAATATTTATCTGAATAGTACAATTTTCAACCTTACTAATTAATATAATTTTAAAAAAAAATAATATTTATTAAATATAATAATTAAGTATATATATATTTTATATAAAATAATTATATAAATATTATATATATATTTAAATTTTTTTATTTATATAATTATATGAAATAAATATAAATATTTTTTTTAAATAACATAAAAATATATTTATATAATTATATAATTAATATATTTTTATAAATATAGTAAAAACAAATATATTTAATATATATAATATTTAAATATTTATTTATATTTTTATAAATATAATAAAATTTAATAAATATATATTAACATTTTACATAAATAAATTATATGTATTATTTAAGTATATTTTTAATATAAAATAATTTGAGTAAAAATAATATTTTTATACAAATATATAAATATTTTTTTATATTTTAATATATTTGTATATATTTTTATAAATATGGTAAATACATATTTATATTTTATAGTTTTCTATTTTTTCCTATGAATATTTGAAATAAATATAAATAAAGTTATTAAATATATTTATAAAAATATATTAATAATATAATTATATAAATATATTTTTATATTATTTAAAAAAATATATTTATATTTATTTCATATAATTATATAAATAAAATTAAAAAAATATATATAATATTTATATATTTATTTTATATAATATATATATATATATATATTTATATTTAATTATTATATTTAATAAATATTATTTTATTTTAAAAATTATATTAATTAGTGACGTTGGAATTCTAATTATATAAAAAAATATACTAATCAGTTAAATATTTATAAAATAATATTATTTTAGGTTATAAATTTAATAGAATGATAGTGAAAAAAATGAAATATTGTAATTAAAATAAAAAGCCGTATTTTCTTATAATTTTCACTTTTGTTGATAAAACAGTTAATATAAAAGAAAATGTATATAAATTCTGTTTAACAATCATTGTTCTGTTATAAAAACATATATTAAAATTACAAACCAAACATTTATAATATAAATGACGTACTATGTTTTCACTTTCTCAAAATAATAATTAAACAACACCTATGTAGACGGAAGTTGTTAACCATTGCAGATGACAGAACTTTATGATCAGTGGTAGAGTGTCATTGCAACAGAAGAAAATCATATCAAGAACACGAATACTACTAAAGTGGCCATTTAAGAGGAACAAGGTTCGTTAGGGCATAGCTTTCATCTGACTCCAAGTGTTTGATAATATGCTACAATGCTAAATATGACCCCAACAAAGAGATGAGGGTCTTTGAATCCCACTAAGTCTTTGTACTGTTCTATTCTCAGCCCCCCATTTTCTTTAGTGCATTCTTTGCTTCATTTGTCGGTTTCACCACTTGTGTTTTTTGTACACAATTTCGGTAATACAATGTTTACTGGTTTTATTCTTCTTGATTGATTTCCACAGCAACAAAGGGTCCAACATCATATTAATTAAGTATTCATTTTTGTTCCTTACACGTATGTTTTAGAACAGGTAATAATCATAATAAGGATTTATATGATATTTTTTTCTCTCTATATCATAGTGACATGGTAAATAAAGTGTAGACAGACACGATACTAAAAAAAAGAAAATAATTATTAAATTTATGGACACGTTCAAAGTTAAATGGACATCTTGTTTGAAAAAATAATAAATACTTCATGCATAGCATGTTGGTCATTTTAAAAGAAAAATGTTGGGCAATTTATTGTTTGAATTATTTTATAAATAACATTTCTCTTTATTTTATTTATTGATAAAACGTTAACGGTCGTTATAGTTATGTCATGAAGGAGTAATTTTAGTATTGAAGTGTGACTTTCGTGTTTTGTAATTGGAGGACCAACTTTTTCTTTTAAAAAATTCAGGATGAACATAAACTGGAATTGTAGTTCACAGTTGAAGTGCTTTATAAAGTCTTCCTTCTAGATTTACTTGTCAATTAATTAGAAATCTTGAAAGTGTAAAAGTTTTATGTTATGATTGAATCACATATGGCCACAAGATTGAAACTTTTTCTTATATATATATATATATATATATATATATATATATAGCTTCTCTGGTTCAGTCCAATTCCAAAGAGCAAGCTCTTCGGTCTTTCATCATCTTAAACCTAAGTTTTTCTGGTTCCCTGAATTGTCTTTCACAGTCTGTTTTGTGTTATGCTTTTCATCAATAGTTAAGGTCTTAAGGGCACTATATTTTATGGAGGTGACCAATCTTGTTGTAGTCTTGCCAGCAGTTTTGGCATTCTTTGCACTTTCTCTACATCTCATCAATAGAATGGTGAGACTCAGAAACCTGAATCTTCCTCCTGGAAGATTAGGGTGGCCTATTGTTGGAGAAACCTTTGAGTTTATGCGTGCAATGCTTGAGGACAACGTGTTAAGGTTCATACAAGAGAGAGCAGAGAAATATGACTCTAGGGTGTTCAAGACTTCAATGTTTGGAGATCCTATTATTGTGTTTTGCGGGCCAGCAGGGAACAAGTTCCTATTCAGCAATGAGAACAAGAATGTCCAAGTGTGGTGGCCTAGTTCGGTGAAGAAGCTGCTAAGGTTATCCCTTGTTACCAAGGTTGGTGATGAGGCAAAGATGGTGAGAAGGTTGCTCATGAACTTTCTGAATGCAGAAACACTCAGAAATTACTTGCCAAAAATGGATAGAATTGCTCAGCGCCATATAGACAAACATTGGAAAGGTAATAAATGTAACATAATAGCTCAATTTGTCTGGTTGGTCATATGAGAATTGTGCTACAAAATATTTACTATTGAATCAAATGCTAAATGGTAGTTAAATAGTATTTTGGTGATAAAACTTGGTGTTGGTGTCCCTTCTTCAGTTTTGGTGGGGAATTTAACCTTATCGGAAAGTATCATTTCCTCTCTTAACATGCTTACATAGTACTTTTGAGTGGTTACCAGTACCACCACAGACAAGTCATAAACAATTTATAGTGGTCTAGCTCAACTTGTCTGCTCCATAGATGAGAAAGTCAAATTTATGATCAAAACAAATCTAGCCTGCAGGACTTCTTACAATGCAATATCTCCATCACACTCTTATTTTCATTCTCGTGACCCCTGTACAATCATCCTTAAAAACTTTTTAATTTCCTTTAAAAACAAATCTCTAATAGGAATCTTACATATTTCTTCAAATCTCTCATATTTTTCAAATATATCCTACGCCTTTTTCACATCTCTCATATTCTGTCTGCGAAACCAATCTTACTTATTTATTGTTTTAATGATAAGGATTTAACTCTGATGAAGTTAAGTACACAGAAAAAAAGACATTAATAATCGTTGATTAAAAAATAATCTCAAGTGGAGTATCATTAGATTGGTGGTGTTCATCTACCTATAAGATACAAGATAAAAAGATTTTAACTTAAACAAAAAAAACTTTGGTAAATAAATTTGTGGATTTTTCTCACTTATATGATACTACTCAATTTAACTATTTCCACTCAATATGGACTATAGCTCACGAATTTCAACCCTTTAATTTTCTAATTAATTTTTATTACTGCACTTTATCTTTTAAAAGACACTCTTCCTACTTAAAAAAAAAGCCAAATCCTGGTAGCAAACTATGGATTACAATTTTAAATGAAATTTGGGTGAAATCCAACACTTACAATTGCATATGATTAAGCATTATACATAAGGTTATATTCTCTTAGATCAAAACTGTCTTAAGAGGGCAACCTGTTTTAAAGCTTTTCTAATGATTAAACAGTATTGATTGGCTATATTATTTTGTTTCATCAATAAAAACTGGTTGTTCGTTAGAAATGAAAGAGGAAATGAATATTGTGATCAATAGTTTAATACTTTAGTTACTTCACAATTGTGTAGGAAAGGAGCAGGTGTTTGTCTATTCCATTCTAAAACTATACACCTTTGAATTGGCTTGTTGCTTATTTTTAAGCATTGAAGACTCTGACCAAATAGCAAAGCTTTCGTTAAAATTTGATGAATTTCTGAAAGGGATGATTGGCTTCCCCCTCAACATTCCTGGCACAAGGTTTCATCGTTCAATGAAAGCTGCAGATGCAATAAGGAAAGAAATCAAAATTATTCTAAAGAAAAGGAAAGTGGATTTGGAGGAGAAGAGGGCATCACCTACTCAAGACCTTCTATCGCACATGCTTGTTACATCTGACCCAAGTGGAAGGTTTATGCCCGAAATGGAGATTATTGATAACATACTTCTTCTACTTTTTGCAGGCCATGATACTTCTAGATCAGTGTTATCATCGCTCATGAAGTATCTTGGACAGTTGCCTCAAGTTTATGAGCATGTCTTGAAAGGTTAGTAATCAAATCCTTAAATGTGTTTGGTTATTATAAAGGGTCTGTTTAAATGGAGAATCTTGCTCCCAAATAAGGATGCCGTAGCAATTTGTTGTTGATGTTAAGAATCAGAGTAACTGCATAAGAACTCACAACTAAAAAAAAATATGAGAAAAGAGAAACAAAACAGACAATAGACAATAATAGAATTTTACTATAAGAAGAAATTACAATACTCTCTTTAAATTTAAGAAGAAAATAATAATAATATTTTCTCTCATAAATAAGAGAACTCAATTACTATGCAATGCACTAATAGAAAGAAGAAAGAAAAAAGAAGAGATTTGGGGTGATTTCTAAGATAGACATGATGCTCTTTTTATAAGAGGAAAAATAAACACCAACATATAATTTCCTTGAGGTGAGACTTCTCTTCTCACATTTTCACAATCTCCCACTTTAAGATTTTGATTAAATTAATCAAATATTCAAAATACATTATTATTGCCTTCCATGTTATTATTGCAAAAGACCTTCAGTAGGATTGTCTCTATGTAAACTTGTCATTGCTAACCGAATGTCATAATATTTGCTAGGTTCTTCTTACTTTGTCCTGAAATACGAGGAAGAATTTCTTACAATGTGCAAGACACTCTGACTGTCATAATACATAACAATTTGTTGTTACTTGTGCTTGAGTTCCTCCATTATCCTTTTAATCCAAATAGCTTCCTTACATACCTGAGTGACTGCCATGTACTCAACTTCTGTGATAAACAAAGCTACAACATCCTATAACTTGGATAATCAGTTATTGCCTCTCCAACAAAGGTAAACTCATCAACATTACTTGTAAAACTTGAACAAACATAGCATCTTACAACTAGTTTTGATCCTCCGAAACATAATACAACATCCAAGGTTCCTTTGATAAGAATTCTCTTGATAATACACATGCTCTCCACCACAATTTGCATGTATCTACTAACCGCTCCCACTGCTTGTGCAATGTCTGGTCTTGTACCGATCATGGTATTCATAAGACTTTTCACCATTGATGCATACAATACTTGAGACTTTTTCATCTTCCCTATTTCATTGCTAGGACTCATACTTGAGGATAACATGATAGAAAATGGGGTAAAAACTGACTTATACTCTTGTATGTTGAAGCACTGCAAGACCTTCAGTAAATATTCTTCTGATAAAGTCAATTCTTTTTTGCCTCGGTGAATTTACATCCCTAAAATCTTGTTTGTTGGTCCCTAATTCTTCGTACCAGACTTCCTAGTCAACTGTGCCTTCAAAACCTAGATTCGAACTTGGTTGGAGCCTACCACCAACATGTCATCCATATACAATAAATAATAAAATCATTCTCATCAAATTTATTGTAATAGGTACAATAGTTTGAACTTAGTCTGTTGTAATCAAGGCTAATAATGAAGAATCAAATCTCTTATATAACACCTGGACACCCGGTTTAAACCGTACAAAGATTTGGTCAACCTATAAATCAAATTTTCTTTTTCTTTAAGTCTTCTGGTTGGAGCACACCAATCATTTCTTGTATCACCGCTAATATTAACCTTGTGGATAATGAGATCCATAGGAAATACCCCTTCACATGTTAGCATAGTCCAAGAATTTGCCTTTCCCGAACTTTGAAAACACAAACTTCCTCTTGATGTGGTACACTCATAATCCTTGGAGTAATTATTGTCATCACTGACACAAAATATTTGGCCCCTTCTAAGGATAATACTGGCGATTCCAACACATCAAAATAAACCAAGTTCAATATGTGTTTCCTCTTGATACAATTTGACAAGGGACTCCCAAATCTCCTTCATTGTACCCTTCTCAACAAATTTGCTATAGCGTTGTTGTAAATTTCTTCTCACTTTCGATCTGTGATGCCCATGATTTTTCTCCAATTGCTTTTACACAATTGTCTTTTCTCAAAATTGCCTTTATATTCAATTTTCATAATAAGAAACTATTCCCATTAAACTTCTCTATCTCATATTTTGTTGTCATGGTTCCAAATCGACTTATGCAATCCTCACTATGAATAGTATGTCTACTGGAACAACAACGGTAGACCGTGAACTAGTACACCAGGTAAGTTCCCAAGAAAAAGAGGTGGGTCATTAATGGACGATCATTAATTGACACGCTTAAATACCAAGTCTTTTCTTGCCAGAACTTTTCCTAGACATGCACTATCACACTACCAAATAATATACAGTAACAAATATACCTCTTTTCCAATTTGGAAGATCAAATTAACCATACCAAGTCTATCTAGTAACAAAATAATTTTTTTTTGATGTGGAAGATCAGATTAACCATACCAAGTCTTTCCTTGCCAAAACTTTTCCTACAGAACTTTTTCTGGACATGCACTATCACAGTGGAAGATCAGATTAACCACAACCACAAAGCATACTAAGAATTTTCTCCAACACTATTCTAATCACTATAGCAACAGAATAACCTAGTAGCTCTGATACCACTGTTAAGAGTCAGAATATCTGCATAAGAACTTACAACTAAAATAAAAGATGAGAAAAAAGAAACAAAAGAGATAATAGACAATAATAGAATTATATTACCGGAAGAAATTACAATACCCTCTTTAAATCTAAGAAGAAAACAATAATAATATTCTCTCTTAAAAATAGAGAACTCAACTACTATGCAATGCACTAGTAGAAAGAAGAAAGAGATTTGGGATGTTTTCCAAAGTAGACATGATGCTCCTTTTATAACAGGAAAAGTAAGCATTAACATATAATTTCTCTTATGTGGAACTTTTTTTCTCACATTCTCACAGCCATGTACTATTACCTAAAACATTATCAAGATAAATGTTGAAGTTATCTTTAATGCAGAACAACTTGAAATTAGTCAAGTGAAAGAGGCAGGACAGTTGTTGCAATGGGAAGATGTTCAGAAAATGAAATACTCTTGGAATGTTGCATCTGAAGTCATGAGGCTGTGTCCACCAGTGAGTGGTGCTTATAGAGAAGCTACAACGGATTTCACCTATGCTGATTATAACATCCCCAAAGGCTGGAAGGTATGTTTCGTTCTTTTTGTAAAACTTTCTTTGCTATTACCATGCTTTCTTCACTCGACATCATTGGTATCACTTATAGTTCCTGAGACATGGGAAGAATTTGTCTGTGATTGCTACTTGTCAAATGATATTCCATCTTAAACTTTGTTAGATAACTGTAAAGAAGTATAAATAAGAGTAGAGGAGTTGAGTTCGATTGGTTTGAACCTTTGTAAGATTCACCTTCCATGTTTCAAGATTTGGCTAGATAAACTTTTTCATGAATGAAGAAAAAGTGAAATAAATTTTTTTTTTTCACAAGGTGAAATTAGTTTTATGCGTTAGTCAAATGACAATTTTTGATGATGCTAATATACAAGTTTTTTATCACTTGAAGAAGTTTATTTTATTTCATTTCTTTTATTTGTTTTCCTATGCTTTTAAATCAACTGGATTCAATTATTACAGTAAATTATTAGTAATCTTTCTTTACATCGACCTACAGCTGTTTTTGAATGAAACCACTAATTCATTTCATGTTTAATTTAACCTTGTTTCAATCTTTAAGTCTTGTTTCCATGAATACTTGATCTATCAAATGATAAATTATACCAAAAGCTTCCTTCATTTTTTGAGGCTCAACAATACTAATGGTTGCATTTTTAAGACCATGAAAAGATGTTCACGGATGCTAAAGGAGAGAACCTTGTCTCATGTTGATCATGTTATGTATGATATTTTATGACAGTTGCATTGGATAACTGGTTCATCACACAAGGATCCAACACTCTTCTCAAATCCAGAAACTTTTGATGCTTCAAGGTTTGAAGGAGCAGGGCCTACACCCTTTTCATTTGTTCCATTTGGAGGTGGCCCCCGAATGTGTTTGGGGCAAGAATTTGCTAGACTAGAGATACTTGTGTTCATGCATAATATTGTGAAACGGTTCAAGTGGGAATTGGTGATTCCTGATGAAAAGTTAAAGTATGATCCCATGCTAGAACCAGTAAAAGGACTTGGAATTCGGCTTCAAGCTTCTAGTTACTAGTCAAATAACTTATCTATCTACATAATGCATTAGAAGCTTTCTAAGTTGTAATCTTATTTTGCTTTTTTGAATAAAACTATTTTGCTACTTTTATTAGAAGTTTCTTGTATCTGCTTACATGATTTCTATGGAGTATTTGTTTCAGAAACTTTGGTTCTTCTGTTATGCACTCAGTACTCATATAGTTCAGGTCTATGCTTTCTTGATGCTACCGTTTTGAAATTGTTTCTGTATGCGAGCAAATGGAGAGATGACATATTGAAATTCAAGTCCAAAACAAAATGAGAAAATTAGATAAAGTCTTAAAGAATGCGAGACAAAACTTTTCTCTGCAAACAAGTTGCACCAAGAAAATTTAATGTTTTTTTATATGTTGTTGTTTCCCTCTTCATATCTATTTATTCTATCATACCGGGTAAATAACCATTTTTGTCCTGTAAATCAATAACAATATAATTTTTTTTTAAAATAATACTTTAGCTTATGAATGTGTAGAAGTACAAAAAATTCGTCTTGCTGTTAAATTTGATAGAATAAATGTCATAAAACTGTAATTAACTAATTTCTTATTAAATTAAAATTCAGGAAAGAATTTCATGTCAAATTATGAAGTCAATTTGACATTAAACTATGAAATAAACTATAGTTGTTATAAATTTTGTATATTCAATGACTTCAGAATTTTCGTAATTTATAAATTTACACATTTAAAGACTAAAATAATTATTTACCGCATTATATTTAAAAATTGAATCGCAAGTTGCGAAGGTAACATGATCTTATTATATATATGGTTTTCTTCTTCCTCATGGGCGTTTTTCAACCTGTAAAATTTTGAAAACTGGAGTTACTTTTGGCCTTGATTTCAAATCCAAGTTGTGCTCTACTTGAATGCAAAACAGCCCCTGTTAATGATCCAATTGGTAAAACCTATAACTTTGTTATGCTAGTTTTTCTTTGGTATAACTCTCATATTGCTACAACTACAATAGAAGAGATTTAATTGCAGTGGGAATGTTGTATAATGAATTAAAACTTGAAATCAGTGAAAAAAGAAATTGACAATCTTACAGAAAGGTAAACTGTTGATGGTTGAAAGACAGTTACTTGAAACAAACATCATAAAAAATGAGTAACTTCATCAAAAGAAGGGGAAAGTTAAAGCCACTTCATGAAGATAGTTGTTAAGGATTTTAAGAAGCAGAACCGAGCAAAATTACACACAAGCACAATCCCCTAGATTCAAGCCTCTCATACATACCAGGCTGCTTCAAAAACAAACCATATTTTTTTTGGGGCCATCTTAAAGAAACATGCAACAAAGCAGAAGGTGATAGAAATGCACAATTTTATTGATCATAAATAAGCTTCTCATTATTTTGCCTGATTATACTAGTAGTACATAAAACAAGATTCAGTGAAGGAACAAAAAATGAGGGACCCTGTGTGGTTAAACAATAAAGTTATACATACACGGGATATTGCTCAACCAACTCCTTAGTCAACCAAACTCTGTGCTTGTGTCCATAAAACATGTTATTTCTTACCAAACCCAAAAAGAGATTTGATGGCATTGATGGCATTCTCATTGATGAAAGATTCATCAAATCTTTTCAACAAAGGATCAAATTCCTCTGACTTCCTGACGTTCGCCAGATCAGGATCAGTTTTCAGTCTCTGTTAAAATAACAACAATGTTAGATTAGATGGTTTTAACCAATATGATAATGGAATAGCTTCAAGTAGGTTGATCACCTTGAAGTCTTCAAAACCAGAATTCAGTGCTTCTTCCAGTGAAGAAAGTGCAGCTTGAATCTGTTAAGAGAAATTTAATACTCTCTGGTAGTATATTTGTAGATAGATAAATCATAGAATCGTTTGTTGGCAAGACTGTTGGATTAACTACAAAGTATGTTGTCCTTGTTTGTATTAATGGGCATATCATACAGATTCATACCAACTTCAATGCTTATATAAGATGCTATAAGAAAATTTTAGCTAGCTTTGATGAGTGGATCCAGTCCCAACCCAAGACAAATTAATCAATTAGGTCCTTCATTAGTTTAAAAGTTTGGTTTGTTAGTCCATACACATAATTTAGTTCCTACTTATACATACTAAGCACTGATAAACTTTTAATTAATAAGGGAAAATTAGTTGCGCACATACATTATATATAAAGGGACTATATCTACTCAGCAATGATAAAAAGGAACTAATCCAAGATTAAGTCAAGTTACATGTTCCAAGTAGCAAATGGCAGGAAATACTACCTGGTTTAGCTTAGAGTAACAACAAGCAACGTTGTAACTTGCAACTGCTGTTTCCTCAGGTTCTGGTTTTGATCCCAAAATAGACTCAAATCTCTCTCGTGCTTCCTCATATTTTCCATTCCTTCAGCATTAAATCCAGGAACAGAGTGCACAACAATATTATCAGTGAGATATGGCTTTTAGCCATAAGAACAGAAGGTTACAACCAGAGTTAGACAATGATTGAGAAACAGAACAGTATTCAGGATTCAAAACTAAAATTCCAAAAATAATTGCTAATGAAGGACAATATTTCAATTATCAATTGAAGACAATTGCCACATACTAAACGCAGATTACAACTTTATATATAAACCTTCTTGTTCTACCATGTGTCTTGTCAAATAGGAAGAAAATCTCCTATCCTTAATTTACATTTACTATTCAATTGAATAGAAAAGAAAACATAAACTAAATCTAGAACAACCTTAAGGGTTATGTATATATATATATATATATATATATATATATATATATATATAAAAGTGTGTTGAGTGAGAGAGTGTGAAGTAAAAGAAACTAATCTCCACCATATGACCTATCATATTTTCATGGTCAATATTGGCTTTGCTTAAATCCAATCATGACTATCCAAATATTGTTACATGGTCCAGAAAGAATATAACTCTCTCATTCCCTCACATAAGACTCCTTATATGTATTGCAAAATAAATTTCACATATGGTACAAAGTGTAATAATGGCATCTATTGAATTACAATTGAAGACAAGATGTTGCATTTCATCCCTTCGGAAGAATATACCTACATTACGAAATATTAAAGGCTAGATAAACAAAGGACAGAAAGGAATACTGGATACACCATAAAAAGGTAAACAAAAAAATGATTTTGAAGTGCTAACTCTTACTTATATAGTTGCAATCCTTCTCTCAAATCCCTTTCTCTGCGTTCTTTCTGTTCCCTTTTCCTCAAAGCATTTTGCATCTGAAATTTTTGCAAGTTTGAGAATTGGCAATGAAATGTTTGTACCCCACACGGAAGTACAGCAGTGACATCTTTAGGTAGAAGGTGAAATATCTTATACAAAATGGTTTGTTAATGCAAGGACTATACTTTAAGTTTAATCATCATTATGATTAAACTTACTTGAATTTCTCTCACTCTATTGCTGATTACCCCGGAGTTCCTCTCAGCCCTGATAATTTCCTTTTCAGTTAACTCACCACCACTATCAATACTCTTTCCTGTCAAAATGAGAAACCACTGCTCTGAGATCACGAGCTAATTTCACAAGTGACTACTGACTATAGTAGCACTCAAACAGAGGAAAAAAAAGAACACACATTGAACCAACCATATCTTTTCTGCATTTTCATCAGCAATGGGCCAATTCTTTGGCGAATCGTGTACATTGTTCTTCCATATTCTGCAGCTGGCCAAATTTCAGTCCCAAAAACTGCACTGCAGATATTGAACATATTGGTCATATCTCAACGACTCAAACTTCACGAGATAAACAAAAAGAATACAAGATCACCTCTCAAAAGGATTTCAAAGCTCATAACATACATAAAAAATGACACCCCCTCCCCCACAATTATAATATACATAGGATAATTTATTGACCGTTCAGAAACCTGAATTCTATAACATGTCTAAATTATTTATAACGACTATAGTCATATTGAAACTACACCAATGATGTCATAACAGATCCTAAGCCCAGTAAAGGTCATCCAATCACAAATTAACATCTATAATAAGGTTGTTGGTTTTTATCATGACTTCCATAAAAGTCATAGCTACCATGATTTCTCATTGTTTAACATTGTTAAAAGTTTACATTAACAGAGCCTAGAAATTAAACTCATCAAAATCCACATCCATAAAACAACCAAGAATAAATAAGACCTGCAATAAACTCTCTAAAGCATGATATGATATGCTAACCAACCACTAATCTAAAAGTTATACCACATCCATAAACCTTGCAAGTTGTATCTAGTTCTCCAAATAAAGAAACTTGCAGAAAGACAAAAAAACAAAAACATGAAGAGCACACCTGGTAGCAAGGACTTTATCCCCTACAGTGAAGACTCCAGCCTTATCAGCTGATCCTCCCGGTGCAATAGCATCAATGTAAGTTCCTCCATCCCTACCCTTTGCAAATTTGAGTCCAAAAGGCTGCTCAATCTCAACCTCGTACTCTTCATACGGTTCCTCCTCTTCTTCTTCACTCCTGTCACTCTCCTGTTTGGATGCTTCTGACCCAACCCCAGATGAAGCCTTAACAGCAAAAAGCAACGGTCTTGACAAAAGGGTGTTTGAGAAACAAAAGGAAACACCCCAATACGAGGGGCTTCTGGAAGAAAAGAACTTGGTGGAGGAAGAAAATAAGGTTGGGTGAATTTGGGTGGTTCTTGGCAATGTCACTGCAGAGTAAAGAGATGAGTGACCACTAGTGGTGGTTGGTAATGACATGATGTATGGTTATGCACAAAAAATTTGGGACTGCCACTGCTAGTTTCTATGTTGAGTTTGCTTATGAGTGGAACATCCCTTGCTGCTTGAATTTGTGTTTGTGCATAGTTAACAAATGGATGTTGTGTTGTTGGGGCCACAAAGACATGGATGAGAGGTTGTGAACATAGATTGCTGAAATGGCTATGAAGGCACATCCATTCAGTTCACTACAATGATGCCACGTGTACTTTTCGATTTTACCATGTTGAGACATGGCTGTACTATCTCTATTACTTCAACAATTTGATTAGAGAGATGGAAATTAAAAAAAAAAAACACATTTTAAAATTAATAGAGTTTCTGACATAGTAAAGTTCTTTTGAGGAATCTATTGATATATAATTAATATTTGGAGGAAATAAAATATTTAAAATTATGATATATAAGTTTAATAGAATACTTTTTATGATATCATTCTTTGTAGACAACTTTAAAATTTTTAATAATATCATTCAAATATTTATTATTTTATGATATTAAGATATCTTTCTACATTATAATAACTTTTTTAAGGATTTTTTTATATATAGAAAAATCTTACAGTAACTTTTTGCGTGAAAAATTATTAAAAAATGTTGAGTTTTTTATACAATGCCAAATCTGTTTGAAAATAAGTAAAACATTTAAATTTTGGTAAGAATCTATCAATGGATTTAAGGAAATAATCATTTTTAATTTTTTTGGAAGAAAATAACAAATTTATTAAAAATATATGCATTCGGAATTTCAGTTCATAGAGAATAAGTTTTTCTATACTAGAAGGAGGATATAAAAAACATGGAAAAGTGAAAAAAAATGGTTTATATAATGAAATACAATAATTAATTAATTAATTAATTAAGGAAATGCATAAAAAGTGCATTAAATTAGTCATAAAACTGATTTTATTAAAAAAAATTTAAAATATAATATTAACATAATACTATCTATAAAATAATAAAAGAGAAAGACTTCAATTGATATATATTCAGCATTAGAGTAAAATTTTGCATTAAAAGGATATCATCCAAAAGGTTTTAGATTTCTTTAAAAAAAAAAAATTCCTAATGATATCATTCTTGCTGCTATGATTTGTTTGTTTCTGTTGACACTGATATCAGTTCATACAGTAATCCAGCTGCACATATATGACAACCATGTTGAAAAGCAAATAAAGGGATAGAATAAAAAGAAATTGCCTATATGTCATGTTAATAAACACAAGAAGTTAAGGCAAAACCTCTCTCCCAATGAACATGAAAAGTGAAACTGGGAACCTACAACAACACCCTCTTTAAAGTCATTTTGCATCTTTCATTTTCAAACCAGATTCGGGAACCTCACTGATTATGGTCAATGTTTTGCCAATAGAGACCTCTGTGTGTGCCTGCAAAGGCTCCAATGAGTCCACAATATCTCGCATTAGAGGCCTTGCTTTTGGATTGCGGTTCAAGCAATGGTATGCAAGCATTGCAGCCTTGTGAACTGCTTTAATTGGATAATCACCATCCAGCCTTGGATCTATTATGTTTAGAAATTTCTTCTTTTCCTTCAGCAAAGGCAGAGCCCATTCTGCAAGGTTCTGCTCTCTAGCAGGTCTTAACTTGTCTAAAGATTTTCTTCCTGTGAGAAGTTCAAGAAGAACAACCCCAAAACTGTAAACATCACTTCTTGGAGTCAGATGACCTGCACAACAACATATCATTATGATGCCAATTTGTGTCATACCATGACTTTAATTCAAATGAACTGACAGTATAATATGCAGTATTTGATGAATGATGAGTTTGTTGATTTTCACAACATCTATCTTAAAAGTGACATCTAACATGACTAGTGAAAATATGAACTTCTTGTCACATGAGTACAGAATTCTAGGTTCAGAATACACTTTACCTGTCATTATGTATTCAGGTGCTGCATAACCATATGTTCCCATTACTCGTGTAGAAACATGTGATTTGTCTCCAACTGGTCCATCCTTAGCAAGGCCAAAGTCAGAAAGTTTTGCATTGTAGTCCTGATTTTGAAACATAAAAAACCAAGATGGTTAGTTGAAAGCTGGCTCATTTTTAAACCACTGAGGCATTTACTGTGTAGATTCTATCTTAACAGAACAGCTTGTGTGTTTTGCTATGATAAAATTTGACACATAAACTACAAGTAATATCTGTAGTTTGCAACAATTTTAGAATAAAACAATATTTGATAGTTTAGTGGCCTTGTAAACATTGAGAAACTTTGTTATTTACTATCAAGTAAGAACTCCAAAGAATCATCAGGTGCTACCAAAAGAATCAATGATTGATAAAACCTAACCAAAATCATGTCAAAATTACCTACCCTGTGCTGTGTCCAAATTAGACCCTAATGAAAAGCACTATTTCTTCACCTCTCAACACATACTTAAATAGTCAAATTGTGAATCCTTATCTGTTTAGTGTCTACACATTTTCATTATTTATATATGTTTTTTTTTCTCAGTTGAGATATTTTAATTTGCTGACCTGGTCTAATAAAATGTTTGATGTCTTGAAATCACGATATATGACAGGTTTCTCTGCTTCATGAAGAAATGCAAGTCCCTTAGCAGCACCAAATGCAATCTTCATTCTAATGGACCATGGCATGGGAAGCAAAATTTCTGCGACAATTCAGTGAAGACACATTAGATATACAAACAAAAAAACCATAATAAACATTAAAGTGCTGTCTTTTGTTGAATAAAAGACACAAATGGTTTTGATTTTTGAATATAAGTAGTGGAGTTTATGATTATATGGTTCGTGGTGGGGTCCTTACAACATTAAATTCTAGTCTATCTTTCTCCGAGAAAATAATACTATAATCCATAAAGCGTGTAATGCTTTTTCCATTAGCTAAGTAAGAAGATTTTTTGTACGATTCATAATAAGGGTCTACAATTTTTCATTATCTAATTAAAGAGTGAATCTAAAAAAATTAATACCAAGGTTTTAGCTTTGTGACTTTGAAGGTTGAAGTCATGGATTCAAATCCTGAAAATACTTTCTCTTGTAAGGTTAATGGGTCCTCCTTTTTGTATCAACTAAGATGTTAAAATTTGTTTATATTAAGTTAATTATATATATATATATATATATATATATATATATATATATATATGTATGTATATATGTAGACGTATAAACTAATAATTAATTAAAAGATATTGTGAAAAACCGTGCATGATTAAGAAACCTTTTGGTTTAAAAGTAGCTTAAAACTCTATATTTTTTTTAGAAAATTTTTTATACCTTGAAACATATACATTCTGTCTTTTACATTTTTTTTTTTCTTTTATTTTTAATTACATTATTCATCGCATCTCTTATTTTTCTTTTTCAATCTTTATTCAATTCACACCTTATAAGAGGGGTGAAAGAAATGTTCTTTTGCCTTTTCTCACTCACCTTTGACCCCCCAAAAGAAAATAGTAACTCAAACACGATTTAATCTATAGTAAAAAGGTTATGAAAAAGTTGTAAAACCAGAAAAGTTTGTAGCTGGCTTTAAACTGTAAGATCTTCTAAGATCATGAAATACTCCTTGGCTCATTGCATTGGACAATGGCGTAGGACCTACCAAAATTTTACCCTCAGAAATCTCTCTCAGATGCTCACTGAGGTAACTTCTTCCTTTTTTAGGCTTCTTCTGTTATTTCTTTTATCTCAATGATTGAATGGCAAAAGAATATTTAGGGTCAAGAAGTCATTGTCTTCTTTACATTGACCTCTAATATGGTCACTAAAAGTCGTATATAGTATAGCCAAAAACAACACTTTATTTCCTCATGTTAATCTCAAAGTTATGTCCTTATCAAATCCATCTAAAAAGCACATGTCTTAGTGAAGTGACAAAGAACCAACTCCTTAAGCACAACTAGGTATTCTTCCACGAAGCTACCAAATGGAACCAAAATCACTTCGTCTTTAAGTTCCTCTCTTTTAAGTGTCAACATTGTCGGAGAGAACATAAAAGGGTAAGTAAGTAAGCAAGTAAAAAGTAATGATTGATGCATCTACCAAACCAAAGTAACATTTTTCTACACGCTGTTTAAACAAATTCCTTGCCACCATACATGGAAAAGCACCCTAATAACAGTATGTTGCAGCAATGAACTGATCTTTAATTTGGAGAAAGGATAAGGAATTTCAATGTCAGAAAAGGTGGCATGAGATACTCACTTGAGAACAAGTTGTGTTCCACACTTCCCCGGGACATGTACTCATATATCAGTACCCTATGTTCATCCTCGCAGCAGTATCCAACTAATTTGACTAGATTTGGATGTGAAAGCTGCCCCAAAAATATGACTTCTGCCTAGAAAGCAATAAAATCTTAATTTAGTTCATCTTGCAACAATGACATTGTTTTTGTTACATTATCAACTTATATTAGTGTGTGCCAATAGCAGAAAAAAACATAGCATGTGAAGCATCATGATTTTGCAGCTAGACAACTTAATTTAATACGAAAGAATGAACAGAAAGACAAAAATTATACCAGCCATTCTCTGTGCCCTTGATGGCTATTGTCACCGTCATGAACCTTAACAGCTACAGCAAGGGTAGGAAGCCCCTGCCTTAACTCCTCAGAAATGAACCCTTTATACACACTTCCAAATCCTCCTCCCCCCAACACACGATCTGGCCTAAAATTTGCAGTTATTATCTTCAACTCATCATAAGTGAATACAATCAATGGATTTGCAGCTGAGTCACGGCGTAGGTCTTCTACTTCCGCAGGATTTGATGGTAACTTACTATCATGATCATTCCTTTGTTTGGTTACCTGGTTTTGTTCTTTTGGTGAATCAATAAGAGAAATGAGAACAAATGATATACACATTTAAACTATGGAAGCAGATTAGTTATTCTTATTTGTATTTATGCTCGTCCTTTTTCTCATAAAAACTAACCTGATGTTACATAGATCATTGTTATTTTGTTCACTATCTATAAATAAAAAATTTGAACACTGCTTGAGGACTGAAGGAGGAAAATAAATACTGTGACGTTTTCCACATCATGTGAAAAGATTAAGGAGTCTGCATAACTCCTTTTCTCTTATTGGATGAAGAAGAAAATTTAGTATACTGTTTCAAAAGCAATGGATGGTGGGAATATATTATGATTGTGAAGGAGTGGATTATATTTTAAAAACCCTCAACCAATTTCATAGAAAATTTAGTTCAGATAATAATGAACCCACTAGAGTTAAGAGGTTTCCACTAACCACGTGAGAATTACATGTCGACCCACTTTTGAAGCAGACACGTAAAGAAAAGGTGATTAGGGATCATATTAACAGATTCTACAATAGAAGTAACTTTAGAAAAGTTAAAAGGATTTGAAGACAACATGTAACTCATATATGCAGATTTTTGTTACTTTTTGTTCTCTTTGTCTTCCAATGATTTGCATAAATCACCTTGCCAACAAGGATGAGATATATGAAGCAAACACTAGATTCAAATGATTTAATAACCACAACACAGAAAATTTTCAATGAAAAAGAACCTGATCAAAGGGTGATCAAGAAAGCCAGGAGGGAAAATTGGAAGGCTCCAAAACATGAAATCCTTGAGAACAACACTCATCAAAGACAAAATATTGAAAAATAAAAGGAAAGAAAACAAGAGACGAATAAACCATTTTCACGACAGAGAACAGAATTCAGAAAAAACTCAAGATTTTACTCAAAACTCTATGAAAGCATACACTAAAAACACTTGTTCATTCTAGGCGATGATAAACAATAAAAATAAACACCAAAATCATAGAAAATATCCAAAACAGAGAAAGGCAAGGTTTTTTCTGTTCGTGAACCAACCTGACTTTACATTGGATGAGACTCTATAATCTGATGACTCCCACCTACACCAACAATTACCCATTATACCAAATCCAAACACACCCTTTGCAGCAGCACCACCTCCTTTACCAACCCCCCATCACAAAAACCAAACTTTTTTTTCTCTTTTTACTTTTTGTGTGTTGTTATCTCACTCCTTAAGAAACATGGCTCAGATTTAGGAGGAGGAAGAGACATAAATCAGAAAAGCAACCAAGTACAAAGGAGAAAAAACAACATGGTATCTACTACCTAGTGGTTAAGTATTGTGATCAAATGTGAAAGGGGACATGTCTTTTGGTGACAGAAAGGGAAGAGTGGGGGATAATTCAGAGATGGCAATGATGTTGATGAGTTGGGTGTTGGCTTGGCTATGGGGGAAGATGGAAGGGCCCACTTCCACAGGGGTGTAGTGATTCAAAATGTGCCTTGGTGCACTACTTTGATGCTAGTGCGCACATAGAAGGTGCATGTTTTTCATAATGCATACCCACCAATCTTTTTCCATCACTCTCACTCATCCTTAAGCCTTATTTTTCTTCCTTCTTCTCTTTCTCTTTGTTGTCACTTCTCTCCAATTAATCCTCCCTCTCTTCCACACACAAAATATTGCAACCACCACACCTAACCACCCTTTTTCCTTCTCAAACTTTTGGTTCCTTCCATAAAATATATTTCTTTCTTCTTTTGTGCTAAGCCAATGAAAAGGGTCATGACTCCTAAAGTGAGTTTATTTGATTAGAAAATGGCATTAGAATATCTATTAGTATCATCACTTTCATTAAATGCAGAAAATAAAAACATATGTCTACTAACTATTGAGATGATATTGTATTTTTTTACCTTAATTGTTATTAAAATGTTTCTCCTAAAAGATTCAATTTTATGGTTTATCCTTATGTACCCAATCACATTTAATCTGCATACTAAATCCAGGACAAGAAACCTACTAATTATTATTATGATTCTACATTTTTTAAAACTATATATAGAACTTTTCAACTCTCAATCAGATTCCGTCTCAAACAGTAGCCATGACATCCACATTTACCAACTCTTGCCTAACGATTCTCTGTGCAGTAACAGCCACTCTATTAGCGACCAAAGGGTTTTCGTCACGAATTCTTGAGCCATCTGAAGAATTCGTATTACATGGTTCTGAAATATGTAGGAGGAGGAGGGTGGCCAATAATCCAACCATTTGCAGATTACATGTATAATTGCACAGCCAAGTTAGGTTCAAACTGTGGTGATCAAATGCTGCAGAGAATATTCTATGACAAGGAACACCAAGAACAAAATGTTGTCTCAATCTTGCCATGATAGCCTCAAATTATGTTCGAGGGATGGATCTCGATATGTTACCAAGGAGAAAGATGCCCAAATTTCACACAACAATGACCAATTTTGGAATGATTGTCTCCACTTTCATCAAACCAAAGTTTGAATTTTTATGTTTGTCATCATATGTTTACAGTAAGAATTTAATTTAATGGTAACAACTTCTGATCAAATTCGCATGTCAAAGGATGTTTCATGAGTTGTTTGTCGGATTTCTTATATTTAAAATCTAATATTTGTATAGTTTTACGATGTTTGTCGGATTTTTTAAGCTAAATTCATCCCTGACAAAGATAAGACCACATAGGTTTTAAAAAATATACAAAAATGGTGATACACGTTTCAAAACATTTGATTAAATTTGTTTAATATGACTAAAACACAAGTTTCTTTAGTTTGATATGAACTTAAGTCACAAAACTAAAAAAACACTAACTTTCATAGATTCTTAGTTTTATTTAAGATTTATTTTTCTGATCAATATATTCTAATATCTACACTGACCCACACACGGGAAGATAATATTTTTGTGTATTCTATCTTCATCGTATTAGAGTCATATGTGGTAGAAATATTTTCCTATATTTTCTTGAAGCCATTTTAGTTTTTTTTAAAGAGTTATTTTGAATTTTTAAAATAGTATATTAAAAAATTTAAAAGCAATATTACTTTGTCTAACTCGTACAAAAATTAAGTAATTCTATAAATATTCATCATTGATATATAGATGTTGTATTGCCTTAATTTTGCTTCATATTCAGCTTATATTTATAAAATATTAAAATTTATTTACTATTTTTTTAAATTATAATATTTATATTGTGTTAGATATTATTTAAATATTATTTAGATATTGTTTGATATTATTAAGATATTATTAGATATTGTTAACCACAATATCAAACAATATCTTCTGTTTATTCTGTTACTTTCAGTTACTCTTTTAGTTGTATCTCTCTACTGTAAATAGATTATCCTAAGTATGGTTTATACACAAGGGAGATTAATCTCAAACTCTATTTTCTCTATATTCAACATGGTATCAAAGCTTAAAGTTATTTTGAAATTTTGTCGCCCTCATATTATATTTAATGTTCCTGTTATTTGTGACCTTCTAACTGTGTCTTCTTCACAATTAGTTCCTGCTTTGCAGCCAGCTTCTTCTCCACCGCCTCTTTAGGTTTATAGTTGTCAAAACCAATCACAACAACCACCATGTGACTCCACTCAAGTGTCAACTACTCTGTCTCCTCTAGATCTGACACCTGAGTCTGACCTTCCCATTGCCCTCCGAAAAGGTATCCGTTCTACACGTAATCCCTCTCCCCATTATATTGCTTTGATTTATCATCGACTGTCATTACCTTTTTATACATGTCTTTCCTCTATTTCTTCTATGACCATTCCAAAAACGGTTTGTAAAGCTTTAGCCCATCTTGGTTGGTGTCAGGCCATGTTAGATGAACTAAGTATTCTTCAATAGTGGAACTTGGGAATTGGTCCTGTTACCGTCTGGAAAATATGTTGTTGGTTGCAGGTGGGTGTTTGCTATCAAAGTTGGACTTGATGGTACTATTAATCGCCTCAAAGTTCGTCTTGTGACCAAATGTTATACTCAAATTTTTAAGTTGGATTATGGAGATACCTTTTCCCTGTGGCAAAGATGGCTTCTGTTTGTTTATTTATCGCCATGACCGCTCTTCAACAATGACCTCTTTATCAATTGGATGTTAAAAATGTTTTCCTTAATCGTGATTTGCAAGAAGAAATCTATATGAAGCAACCTCCTGGGTTTGTTGCTTAGGGGAGTCTTCTGGGATGGTATATCGTCTTCGCAAAATCCCTATATGGCCTAAAACAATCTCTTAGGGTATGGTTTGGAGAGTTTGGCAAGGTTGTTCAACAATTTGGTGTGACTCGGTGTGAAACATATCATTCTGTCTTTTATCGACATTTGAGTGTTGGATGTGTTTACTTGATAGTGTATGTTGATGACATTGTTCTTATAGGTAGTGACAATCATGACATCTCTCAGTTGAAACAACATCTCTATCACCATTTTCAGACCAAAGATCTTGACAAACTTAGATATTTCTTGGGTATTGAGGTGACACGGTCCAATGATGATATTGTTATATCTCAGAGGAAGTATGTCATGAATATTTTGGAGGAAACTGGGTTGATGAGTTCAAAGTATGTTGATATACCCATGGATCCCAATACTAAACTTCTACCAAATCAGGGGAGCCTATACCTATTCCTGAGCAATATAGAAGATTGGTTGAAAAATTAAATTATCTTACAGTTACTCGTTCTGACATTTCTTGTGCAGTCAGTGTGGTAAGCCAATTTCTTAATTCCCCATGTGAAGATCATTGGATTGCAGTCATTCGTATTTTGAAGTATATTAAAGGATCTCCTGAAAAATGATTGTTATATGATTCTAATCAATGCATACTCTCCATTTATTTGCAACTTGTGTGGCTACCAACTAATTATCTTTATTTTCACCACCGTCACACTAGACTTCTTAAGAACTACTTGGACAGGGGAGACCCATGTGCTATCTGGAATAGGATAAATGATCCTAGCCGTCAGTAATTCGATTATACCTCCTTCTAGATAACATTTAAAATGGTGGGATTGAGTCTCCTTTGCAATTGTTTCACTAATATAGACTCATCCTCCAATGGTGCATACAAATGGTTGGACGATATCGGGTATATCAACAAGTGTCTAATAACTTTCTAGCGCATTCTTAAAACTTGCAATAACTTATCCTTCTAGTTCAAAAGAAGACTATTGGATATGATGACTGCAAATCTATTATCTTCATCTAAGTAAACATACTTCAAATGATTTGGAGGCTTCAACTCCAATGAAGGTATCTTAGGAACATCATTAGCAGCCACCGGAGGATTGCAATTTGTATTTGCACAAGAAACAAAGATAGGATATGTGGCAGTACACATGCCAGCACCATTAATGCATCTAGAAATTGTATCAATGTTAACATCTAACAACTCACTGTCCAAATTTACTCTTAAATATACATCTACATCTACATTTACTAAGTTTAAAAGAAAAACTGAATATTGTTGTAATACAAAATGGTTCTCGATTGGATGCTTCATGGCGTAAAAAATGTTGAAATGAACCACATCATTTATGAACTCAATAGATAGTGTGCAGTATGCACATCAATTTTTGTCCTAGCTATCGTGAGGAATGGTTTGCCAATGATTAATGTGGATCTATGTGTGGAAGACTCATCCTCTACATCAAGAATATAAAAATTGGCAAGAAAAATCAACTCGTTAACCTTGATTAACACATCCCCAAGCACCCCTAATGGTTGAGTTGTAGTCTAATTTGCAACCTAAATGATAATATTAGTTGGCTTCAAGTCACCAAGTTGCAACAATTTATACGCTGTTGATGGCATGACATTTTTTTGAATAGTGTGAGTTTATTAAAAGTTTGAAATAATATCTTTTATTAAGAATATCCAAGAATGGAGAAGGGAGATCTATAAAAAATAAAATATTTTTAAATAATATTATTTTATTAAGAATATTCAAGGATGGAGGAGGGAGATCTATAAAAAATAAAACAAAACAAAACACACATGTATACACATCACATTTCCAGAGATTCGAACCCAAATCATCTCGTATCGAGATCTGGACAGAGAAATGTACCAGATGAGCTACTGCAGATTTACAACAACATGAATGCATGAAACAAGTTTTATAAACACCCAAAGTGCGGGCACCTCTAAAGAAATACTAATAAAAATCGCTTCAAACTAGAAAATAACTGTTTTTGATTGAGCGAGTTTCTTAAAAATAACAACCTTGATTTGAATGTGAGATCATATTCTTATATTAAGAATAAAGGGTGAGGAACAAAAGAAAAAGCATAAAACATGAAGCTGCTGGAATTCCATCCCAAATCATGTCATATCCGCAGGAAGTTCGAATAGAGAAATTGACCGGATTAGCTACTGTGGATTTACAATGTTTCAAATGAATACAACTATTCTTATAAACACTCTAAGGGCACCTCTAAGCAAGTACTAACAAAAATCGATTCAAAGAAATAAAGGATGAGTGAAATAAAAAAAGGTATATAGCATTTCGATGTTGGGATGCTAACCCGGATCACCTCGTATTCACACAAAATTCAAAATAAAAAAATTGTCCAAATTAGCTACAGCAGATTTAAAATTTTCATATCAATAAAACTATGTTTATAAACACTCTAAGTACACGTGTAAAGAAATACTAACAAAAATCGCTTCAAAACAAGAGTGAATATTTTTTTTTAATAGTGTGAGTTTCTTAAAAGTTTGAAATAATATTCTTTTATTAAGAATATCCAAGGATGGAGCAGGGAAATCTATAAAAAATAAAAGATGGAGGAGGGAGATCTATAAAAAATAAAATAAAATAAAACACACATGTACACACATCACATTTCCGCAGCTGGGTTTCGATCCCAGATCGTCTCGTATCCACGTCTGGACAGAGAAATGTACCAGATGAGCTACTGCGGATTTACGACAACATGAATGCATGAAACAAGTTTTATAAACACCCAAAGTGCAGGCACCTCTAAAGAAATACTAATAAAAATCGCTTCAAACTAGAAAATAACTGTTTATGATTGAGCGAGTTTCTTCAAAATAACAACCTTGATTTGAATGTGAGATCATATTCTTATATTAAGAATAAAGGGTGAGGAACAAAAGAAAAAGTATAAAACATGAAGCTGCTGGAATTCCATCCCAAATCATGTCATATCCGCAGGAAGTTCGAATAGAGAAATTGACCGGATTAGCTACCGTGGATTTACAATGTTTCGGATGAATACAACTACTCTTATAAACACTCTAAGGGCACCTCTAAGCAAGTACTCGATAAAAAGCGATTCAAAGGAATAAAGGATGAGTGAAATAAAAAAGGCATATAGCATTCCGATGTCGGGATGCTAACCCGGATCGCCTCGTATTCACACAAAATTCAAAATAGAAAAATTGTCCAAATTAGCTACTGCGGATTTAAAATTTTCGGATCAATAAAACTATGTTTACAAGCACTCTAAGGACACGTGTAAAGAAATACTAACAAAAATCGCTTCAAAACAAGAGTAAATATTTTCTTTGAATAGTGTGAGTTTCTTAAAAGTTTGAAATAATATTCTTTTATTAAGAATATCCAAGGATGGAGGAGGGAGATCTATAAAAAATAAAATAAAATAAAACACACATGTACACACATCACATTTCCGCAACCGGGATTCGAACCCGGATCGTCTCGTATCCACGTCTGGACAGAGAAATGTACCGGATGAGCTACTCGCGGATTTACGACAACATGAATGCATGAAACAGGTTTTATAAACACCCAAAGTGCGGGCACCTCTAAAGAAATACTAATAAAAATCGCTTCAAACTAGAAAATAACTGTTTATGATTGAGCGAGTTTCTTCAAAATAACAACCTTGATTTGAATGTGAGATCATATTCTTATATTAAGAATAAAGGGTGAGGAACAAAAGAAAAAGTATAAAACATGAAGTCGCTGGAATTCCATCCCAAATCATGTCATATCCGCAGGAAGTTCGAATAGAGAAATTGACCGGATTAGCTACCGTGGATTTACAATGTTTCAGATGAATACAACTACTCTTATAAACACTCTAAGGGCACCTCTAAGCAAGTACTGATAAAAATCGATTCAAAGGAATAAAGGATGAGTGAAATAAAAAAGGCATATAGCATTCCGATGCTAACCCGGATCGCCTCGTATTCACACAAAATTCAAAATAGAAAAATTGTCCAAATTAGCTACTGCGGATTTAAAATTTTCGGATCAATAAAACTATGTTTACAAGCACTCTAAGGACACGTGTAAAGAAATACTAACAAAAATCGCTTCAAAACAAGAGTGAATATTTTCTTTGAATAGTGTGAGTTTCTTAAAAGTTTGAAATAATATTCTTTTATTAAGAATATCCAAGGATGGAGGAGGGAGATCTATAAAAAATAAAATAAAATAAAACACACATGTACACACATCACATTTCAGCAACTGGGATTCGAACCCGGATCGTCTCGTATCCACGTCTGGACAGAGAAATGTACCGGATGAGCTACCGCGGATTTACGACAACATGAATGCATGAAACAGGTTTTATAAACACCCAAAGTGCGGGCACCTCTAAAGAAATACTAATAAAAATCGCTTCAAACTAGAAAATAACTGTTTATGATTGAGCGAGTTTCTTAAAAATAACAACCTTGATTTGAATGTGAGATCATATTCTTATATTAAGAATAAAGGGTGAGGAACAAAAGAAAAAGTATAAAACATGATGTTGCTGGAATTCCATCCCAAATCATGTCATATCCGCAGGAAGTTCGAATAGAGAAATTGACCGGATTAGCTACTGTGGATTTACAATGTTTCAGATGAATACAACTACTCTTATAAACACTCTAAGGGCACCTCTAAGCAAGTACTGATAAAAATCGATTCAAAGGAATAAAGGATGAGTGAAATAAAAAAGGCATATAGCATTCCGATGCTGGGATGCTAACCCGGATCGCCTCGTATTCACACAAAATTCAAAATAGAAAAATTGTCCAAATTAGCTACTGCGGATTTAAAATTTTCGGATCAATAAAACTATGTTTACAAGCACTCTAAGGACACGTGTAAAGAAATACTAACAAAAATCGCTTCAAAACAAGAGTGAATATTTTCTTTGAATAGTGTGAGTTTCTTAAAAGTTTGAAATAATATTCTTTTATTAAGAATATCCAAGGATGGAGGAGGGAGATCTATAAAAAATAAAATAAAATAAAACACACATGTACACACATCACATTTCCGCAGCTGGGATTCGAACCCAGATCGTCTCGTATCCACGTCTGGACAGAGAAACGTACCAGATGAGCTACTGCGGATTTACGACAACATGAATGCATGAAACAGGTTTTATAAACACCCAAAGTGCGGGCACCTCTAAAGAAATACTAATAAAAATTGCTTCAAACTAGAAAATAACTGTTTATGATTGAGCGGGTTTCTTAAAAATAACAACCTTGATTTGAATGTGAGATCATATTCTTATATTAAGAATAAAGGGTGAGGAACAAAAGAAAAAGTATAAAACATGAAGTTGCTGGAATTCCATCCCAAATCATGTCATATCCGCAGGAAGTTCGAATAGAGAAATTGACCGGATTAGCTACTGTGGATTTACAATGTTTCAGATGAATACAACTACTCTTATAAACACTCTAAGGGCACCTCTAAGCAAGTACTGATAAAAATCGATTCAAAGGAATAAAGGATGAGTGAAATAAAAAAGGCATATAGCATTCCGATGCTGGGATGCTAACCCGGATCGCCTCGTATTCACACAAAATTCAAAATAGAAAAATTGTCCAAATTAGCTACTGCGGATTTAAAATTTTCGGATCAATAAAACTATGTTTACAAGCACTCTAAGGACACGTGTAAAGAAATACTAACAAAAATCGCTTCAAAACAAGAGTGAATATTTTCTTTGAATAGTGTGAGTTTCTTAAAAGTTTGAAATAATATTCTTTTATTAAGAATATCCAAGGATGGAGGAGGGAGATCTATAAAAAATAAAATAAAATAAAACACACATGTACACACATCACATTTCCGCAATCGGGATTCGAACCCGGATCGTCTCGTATCCACGTCCGGACGAGAGAAACATACCAGATGAGCTACTGCAGATTTACGACAACATGAATGCATGAAACAGGTTTTATAAACACCCAAAGTGCGGGCACCTCTAAAGAAATACTAATAAAAATCGCTTCAAACTAGAAAATAACCGTTTATGATTGAGCGGGTTTCTTAAAAATAACAACCTTGATTTGAATGTGAGATCATATTCTTATATTAAGAATAAAGGGTGAGGAACAAAAGAAAAAGTATAAAACATGAAGCTCGTTGGAATTCCATCCCAAATCATGTCATATCCGCAGGAAGTTCGAATAGAGAAATTGACCGGATTAGCTACCGTGGATTTACAATGTTTCAGATGAATACAACTACTCTTATAAACACTCTAAGGGCACCTCTAAGCAAGTACTCGATAAAAATCGATTCAAAGGAATAAAGGATGAGTGAAATAAAAAAGGCATATAGCATTCCGATGCTCGGGATGCTAACCCGGATCGCCTCGTATTCACACAAAATTCAAAATAGAAAAATTGTCCAAATTAGCTACTACGGATTTAAAATTTTCGGATCAATAAAACTATGTTTACAAGCACTCTAAGGACACGTGTAAAGAAATACTAACAAAAATCGCTTCAAAACAAGAGTAAATATTTTCTTTGAATAGTGTGAGTTTCTTAAAAGTTTGAAATAATATTCTTTTATTAAGAATATACAAGGATGGAGGAGGGAGATCTATAAAAAATAAAATAAAATAAAACACACATGTACACACATCACATTTCCGCAACTGGGATTCGAACCCAGATCGTCTCGTATCCTCGTGTGGACAGAGAAATGTACCAGATGAGCTACTGCGGATTTACGACAACATGAATGCATGAAACAGGTTTTATAAACACCCAAAGTGCGGGCACCTCTAAAGAAATACTAATAAAAATCGCTTCAAACTAGAAAATAACTGTTTATGATTGAGCGAGTTTCTTCAAAATAACAACCTTGATTTGAATGTGAGATCATATTCTTATATTAAGAATAAAGGGTGAGGAACAACAGAAAAAGTATAAAACATGAAGCTGCTGGAATTCCATCCCGAATCATGTCATATCCGCAGGAAGTTCGAATAGAGAAATTGACCGGATTAGCTATTGTGGATTTACAATGTTTCAGATGAATACAACTACTCTTATAAACACTCTAAGGGCACCTCTAAGCAAGTACTGATAAAAATCGATTCAAAGGAATAAAGGATGAGTGAAATAAAAAAAGCATATAGCATTCCGATGCTGGGATGCTAACCCGGATCGCCTCGTATTCACACAAAATTCAAAATAGAAAAATTGTCCAAATTAGCTACTACGGATTTAAAATTTTTCGGATCAATAAAACTATGTTTACAAGCATTCTAAGGACACGTGTAAAGAAATACTAACAAAAATCGCTTCAAAACAAGAGTGAATATTTTCTTTGAATAGTGTGAGTTTCTTAAAAGTTTGAAATAATATTCTTTTATTAAGAATATCCAAGGATGGAGGAGGGAGATCTATAAAAAATAAAATAAAATAAAACACACATGTACACACCTCACATTTCCGCAGCTGGGATTCGAACCCAGATCGTCTCGTATCCACGTCTGGACAGAGAAATGTACCAGATGAGCTACTGCGGATTTACGATAACATGAATGCATGAAACATGTTTTATAAACACCCAAAGTGCGGGACCCTCTAAAGAAATACTAATAAAAATTGCTTCAAACTAGAAAATAACTGTTTATGATTGAGCGGGTTTCTTAAAAATAACAACCTTGATTTGAATGTGAGATCATATTCTTATATTAAGAATAAAGGGTGAGGAACAAAAGAAAAAGTATAAAACATGAAGCTGCTGGAATTCCATCCCAAATCATGTCATATCCGCAGGAAGTTCGAATAGAGAAATTGACCGGATTAGCTACTGTGGATTTACAATGTTTCAGATGAATACAACTACTCTTATAAACACTCTAAGGGCACCTCTAAGCAAGTACTGATAAAAATCGATTCAAAGGAATAAAGGATGAGTGAAATAAAAAAGGCATATAGCATTCCGATGCTAACCCGGATCGCCTCGTATTCACACAAAATTCAAAATAGAAAAATTGTCCAAATTAGCTACTGCGGATTTAAAATTTTCGGATCAATAAAACTATGTTTACAAGCACTCTAAGGACACGTGTAAAGAAATACTAACAAAAATCGCTTCAAAACAAGAGTGAATATTTTCTTTGAATAGTGTGAGTTTCTTAAAAGTTTGAAATAATATTCTTTTATTAAGAATATCCAAGGATGGAGGAGGGAGATCTATAAAAAATAAAATAAAATAAAACACACATGTACACACATCACATTTCCGCAGCTGGGATTCGAACCCAGATCGTCTCGTATCCACGTCTGGACAGAGAAATGTACCAGATGAGCTACTACGGATTTACAACAACATGAATGCATGAAACAGGTTTTATAAACACCCAAAGTGCGGGCACCTCTAAAGAAATACTAATAAAAATTGCTTCAAACTAGAAAATAACTGTTTATGATTGAGCGGGTTTCTTAAAAATAACAACCTTGATTTGAATGTGAGATCATATTCTTATATTAAGAATAAAGGGTGAGGAACAAAAGAAAAAGGAAAAAACATGAAGCTCGCTGGAATTCCATCCCAAATCATGTCATATCCGCAGGAAGTTCGAATAGAGAAATTGACCTGGATTAGCTATCGTGGATTTACAATGTTTCAGATGAATACAACTACTCTTATAAACACTCTAAGGGCACCTCTAAGCAAGTACTGATAAAAAGCGATTCAAAGGAATAAAGGATGAGTGAAATAAAAAAGGCATATAGCATTCCGATGCTAACCCGGATCGCCTCGTATTCACACAAAATTCAAAATAGAAAAATTGTCCAAATTAGCTACTGCGGATTTAAAATTTTCGGATCAATAAAACTATGTTTACAAGCACTCTAAGGACACGTGTAAAGAAATACTAACAAAAATCGCTTCAAAACAAGAGTGAATATTTTCTTTGAATAGTGTGAGTTTCTTAAAAGTTTGAAATAATATTCTTTTATTAAGAATATCCAAGGATGGAGGAGGGAGATCTATAATAAATAAAATAAAATAAAACACACATGTACACACATCACATTTCCGCAGCTGGGATTCGAACCCAGATCGTCTCGTATCCACGTCTGGACAGAGAAATGTACCAGATGAGCTTCTGCGGATTTACGATAACATGAATGCATGAAACATGTTTTATAAACACCCAAAGTGCGGGACCCTCTAAAGAAATACTAATAAAAATTGCTTCAAACTAGAAAATAACTGTTTATGATTGAGCGGGTTTCTTAAAAATAACAACCTTGATTTGAATGTGAGATCATATTCTTATATTAATAATAAAGGGTGAGGAACAAAAGAAAAAGTATAAAACATGAAGCTGCTGGAATTCCATCCCAAATCATGTCATATCCGCAGGAAGTTCGAATAGAGAAATTGACCGGATTAGCTACTGTGGATTTACAATGTTTCAGATGAATACAACTACTCTTATAAACACTCTAAGGGCACCTCTAAGCAAGTACTCGATAAAAAGCGATTCAAAGGAATAAAGGATGAGTGAAATAAAAAAGGCATATAGCATTCGATGCTGGGATGCTAACCCGGATCGCCTCGTATTCACACAAAATTCAAAATAGAAAAATTGTCCAAATTAGCTACTGCGGATTTAAAATTTTCGGATCAATAAAACTATGTTTACAAGCACTCTAAGGACACGTGTAAAGAAATACTAACAAAAATCGCTTCAAAACAAGAGTGAATATTTTCTTTGAATAGTGTGAGTTTCTTAAAAGTTTGAAATAATATTCTTTTATTAAGAATATCCAAGGATGGAGGAGGGAGATCTATAAAAAATAAAATAAAATAAAACACACATGTACACACATCACATTTCCGCAGCTGGGATTCGAACCCGGATCGTCTCGTATCCACGTCTGGACGGAGAAACGTACCGGATGAGCTACTGCAGATTTACGACAACATGAATGCATGAAACAGGTTTTATAAACACCCAAAGTGCGGGCACCTCTAAAGAAATACTAATAAAAATTGCTTCAAACTAGAAAATAACTGTTTATGATTGAGCGGGTTTCTTAAAAATAACAACCTTGATTTGAATGTGAGATCATATTCTTATATTAAGAATAAAGGGTGAGGAACAAAAGAAAAAGTATAAAACATGAAGTTGCTGGAATTCCATCCCAAATCATGTCATATCCGCAGGAAGTTCGAATAGAGAAATTGACCGGATTAGCTACTGTGGATTTACAATGTTTCAGATGAATACAACTACTCTTATAAACACTCTAAGGGCACCTCTAAGCAAGTACTGATAAAAATCGATTCAAAGGAATAAAGGATGAGTGAAATAAAAAAGGCATATAGCATTCCGATGCCGGGATGCTAACCCGGATCGCCTCGTATTCACACAAAATTCAAAATAGAAAAATTGTCCAAATTAGCTACTGCGGATTTAAAATTTTCGGATCAATAAAACTATGTTTACAAGCACTCTAAGGACACGTGTAAAGAAATACTAACAAAAATCGCTTCAAAACAAGAGTGAATATTTTCTTTGAATAGTGTGAGTTTCTTAAAAGTTTGAAATAATATTCTTTTATTAAGAATATCCAAGGATGGAGGAGGGAGATCTATAAAAAATAAAATAAAATAAAACACACATGTACACACATCACATTTCCGCAGCTGGGATTCGAACCCAGATCGTCTCGTATCCACGTCTGGACAGAGAAACATACCAGATGAGCTACTGCAGATTTACGACAACATGAATGCATGAAACAGGTTTTATAAACACCCAAAGTGCGGGCACCTCTAAAGAAATACTAATAAAAATCGCTTCAAACTAGAAAATAACTGTTTATGATTGAGCGGGTTTCTTAAAAATAACAACCTTGATTTGAATGTGAGATCATATTCTTATATTAAGAATAAAGGGTGAGGAACAAAAGAAAAAGTATAAAACATGAAGCTGCTGGAATTCCATCCCAAATCATGTCATATCCGCAGGAAGTTCGAATAGAGAAATTGACCGGATTAACTACTGTGGATTTACAATGTTTCAGATGAATACAACTACTCTTATAAACACTCTAAGGGCACCTCTAAGCAAGTACTGATAAAAATCGATTCAAAGGAATAAAGGATGAGTGAAATAAAAAAGGCATATAGCATTCCGATGCTGGGATGCTAACCCGGATCGCCTCGTATTCACACAAAATTCAAAATAGAAAAATTGTCCAAATTAGCTACTGCGGATTTAAAATTTTCGGATCAATAAAACTATGTTTACAAGCACTCTAAGGACACGTGTAAAGAAATACTAACAAAAATCGCTTCAAAACAAGAGTGAATATTTTCTTTGAATAGTGTGAGTTTCTTAAAAGTTTGAAATAATATTCTTTTATTAAGAATATCCAAGGATGGAGGAGGGAGATCTATAAAAAATAAAATAAAATAAAACACACATGTACACACATCACATTTCCGCAGACTGGGATTCGAACCCGGATCGTCTCGTATCCACGTCTGGACAGAGAAACGTACCGGATGAGCTACTGCGGATTTACGACAACATGAATGCATGAAACAGGTTTTATAAACACCCAAAGTGCGGGCACCTCTAAAGAAATACTAATAAAAATTGCTTCAAACTAGAAAATAACTGTTTATGATTGAGCGGGTTTCTTAAAAATAACAACCTTGATTTGAATGTGAGATCATATTCTTATATTAAGAATAAAGGGTGAGGAACAAAAGAAAAAGTATAAAACATGAAGCTGCTGGAATTCCATCCCAAATCATGTCATATCCGCAGGAAGTTCGAATAGAGAAATTGACCGGATTAGCTACTGTGGATTTACAATGTTTCAGATGAATACAACTACTCTTATAAACACTCTAAGGGCACCTCTAAGCAAGTACTGATAAAAATCGATTCAAAGGAATAAAGGATGAGTGAAATAAAAAAGGCATATAGCATTCCGATGCTGGGATGCTAACCCGGATCGCCTCGTATTCACACAAAATTCAAAATAGAAAAATTGTCCAAATTAGCTACTGCGGATTTAAAATTTTCGGATCAATAAAACTATGTTTACAAGCACTCTAAGGACACGTGTAAAGAAATACTAACAAAAATCCCTTCAAAACAAGAGTGAATATTTTCTTTGAATAGTGTGAGTTTCTTAAAAGTTTGAAATAATATTCTTTTATTAAGAATATCCAAGGATGGAGGAGGGAGATCTATAAAAAATAAAATAAAATAAAACACACATGTACACACATCACATTTCCGCAGCTGGGATTCGAACCCAGATCGTCTCATATCCACGTCTGGACAGAGAAACGTACCAGATGAGCTACTGCAGATTTACGACAATATGAATGCATGAAACAGGTTTTATAAACACCCAAAGTGCGGGCACCTCTAAAGAAATACTAATAAAAATCGCTTCAAACTAGAAAATAACTGTTTATGATTGAGCGGGTTTCTTAAAAATAACAACCTTGATTTGAATGTGAGATCATATTCTTATATTAAGAATAAAGGGTGAGGAACAAAAGAAAAAGTATAAAACATGAAGCTGCTGGAATTCCATCCCAAATCATGTCATATCCGCAGGAAGTTCGAATAGAGAAATTGACCGGATTAGCTACTGTGGATTTACAATGTTTCAGATGAATACAACTACTCTTATAAACACTCTAAGGGCACCTCTAAGCAAGTACTGATAAAAAGCGATTCAAAGGAATAAAGGATGAGTGAAATAAAAAAGGCATATAGCATTCGATGCTTCGGGATGCTAACCCGGATCGCCTCGTATTCACACAAAATTCAAAATAGAAAAATTGTCCAAATTAGCTACTCGTGGATTTAAAATTTTCGGATCAATAAAACTATGTTTACAAGCACTCTAAGGACACGTGTAAAGAAATACTAACAAAAATCGCTTCAAAACAAGAGTGAATATTTTCTTTGAATAGTGTGAGTTTCTTAAAAGTTTGAAATAATATTCTTTTATTAAGAATATCCAAGGATGGAGGAGGGAGATCTATAAAAAATAAAATAAAATAAAACACACATGTACACACATCACATTTCCGCAGCTGGGATTCGAACCCGGATCGTCTCGTATCCACGTCTGGACGGAGAAATGGACCAGATGAGCTACTGCGGATTTACGACAACATGAATGCATGAAACAGGTTTTATAAACACCCAAAGTGCGGGCACCTCTAAAGAAATACTAATAAAAATCGCTTCAAACTAGAAAATAACTGTTTATGATTGAGCGGGTTTCTTAAAAATAACAACCTTGATTTGAATGTGAGATCATATTCTTATATTAAGAATAAAGGGTGAGGAACAAAAGAAAAAGTATAAAACATGAAGTCTGCTGGAATTCCATCCCAAATCATGTCATATCCGCAGGAAGTTCGAATAGAGAAATTGACCGGATTAGCTACTGTGGATTTACAATGTTTCAGATGAATACAACTACTCTTATAAACACTCTAAGGGCACCTCTAAGCAAGTACTGATAAAAATCGATTCAAAGGAATAAAGGATGAGTGAAATAAAAAAGGCATATAGCATTCCGATGCTAGGATGCTAACCCGGATCGCCTCGTATTCACACAAAATTCAAAATAGAAAAATTGTCCAAATTAGCTACTGCGGATTTAAAATTTTCGGATCAATAAAACTATGTTTACAAGCACTCTAAGGACACGTGTAATATTCGCAGGAAGTTCGAATAGAGAAATTGACCGGATTAGCTACTGTGGATTTACAATGTTTCAGATGAATACAACTACTCTTATAAACACTCTAAGGGCACCTCTAAGCAAGTACTGATAAAAATCGATTCAAAGGAATAAAGGATGAGTGAAATAAAAAAGGCATATAGCATTCCGATGCTGGGATGCTAACCCGGATCGCCTCGTATTCACACAAAATTCAAAATAGAAAAATTGTCCAAATTAGCTACTGCGGATTTAAAATTTTTGGATCAATAAAACTATGTTTACAAGCACTCTAAGGACACGTGTAAAGAAATACTAACAAAAATCGCTTCAAAACAAGAGTGAATATTTTCTTTGAATAGTGTGAGTTTCTTAAAAGTTTGAAATAATATTCTTTTATTAAGAATATCCAAGGATGGAGGAGGGAGATCTATAAAAAATAAAATAAAATAAAACACACATGTACACACATCACATTTCCGCAGCTGGGATTCGAACCCAGATCGTCTCGTATCCACGTCTGGACGAGAAACGTACCGGATGAGCTACTGCGGATTTACGACAACATGAATGCATGAAACAGGTTTTATAAACACCCAAAGTGCGGGCACCTCTAAAGAAATACTAATAAAAATCGCTTCAAACTAGAAAATAACTGTTTATGATTGAGCGGGTTTCTTAAAAATAACAACCTTGATTTGAATGTGAGATCATATTCTTATATTAAGAATAAAGGGTGAGGAACAAAAGAAAAAGTATAAAACATGAAGCTCGCTGGAATTCCATCCCAAATCATGTCATATCCGCAGGAAGTTCGAATAGAGAAATTGACCGGATTAGCTACTGTGGATTTACAATGTTTCAGATGAATACAACTACTCTTATAAACACTCTAAGGGCACCTCTAAGCAAGTACTCGATAAAAATCGATTCAAAGGAATAAAGGATGAGTGAAATAAAAAAGGCATATAGCATTCCGATGCTCGGGATGCTAACCCGGATCGCCTCGTATTCACACAAAATTCAAAATAGAAAAATTGTCCAAATTAGCTATCTGCGGATTTAAAATTTTCGGATCAATAAAACTATGTTTACAAGCACTCTAAGGACACGTGTAAAGAAATACTAACAAAAATCGCTTCAAAACAAGAGTGAATATTTTCTTTGAATAGTGTGAGTTTCTTAAAAGTTTGAAATAATATTCTTTTATTAAGAATATCCAAGGATGGAGGAGGGAGATCTATAAAAAATAAAATAAAATAAAACACACATGTACACACATCACATTTCCGCAGCTGGGATTCTAACCCGGATCGTCTCGTATCCACGTCTGGACGGAGAAACGTACCGGATGAGCTACTCGCGGATTTACGACAACATGAATGCATGAAACAGGTTTTATAAACACCCAAAGTGCGGGCACCTCTAAAGAAATACTAATAAAAATCGCTTCAAACTAGAAAATAACTCGTTTATGATTGAGCGGGTTTCTTAAAAATAACAACCTTGATTTGAATGTGAGATCATATTCTTATATTAAGAATAAAGGGTGAGGAACAAAAGAAAAAGTATAAAACATGAAGTTGCTGGAATTCCATCCCAAATCATGTCATATCCGTAGAAGTTCGAATAGAGAAATTGACCGGATTAGCTACTGTGGATTTACAATGTTTCGGATGAATACAACTACTCTTATAAACACTCTAAGGGCACCTCTAAGCAAGTACTTGATAAAAATCGATTCAAAGGAATAAAGGATGAGTGAAATAAAAAAGGCATATAGCATTCCGATGCCTGGGATGCTAACCCGGATCGCCTCGTATTCACACAAAATTCAAAATAGAAAAATTGTCCAAATTAGCTAGTGCGGATTTAAAATTTTCGGATCAATAAAACTATGTTTACAAGCACTCTAAGGACACGTGTAAAGAAATACTAACAAAAATCGCTTCAAAACAAGAGTGAATATTTTCTTTGAATAGTGTGAGTTTCTTAAAAGTTTGAAATAATATTCTTTTATTAAGAATATCCAAGGATGGAGGAGGGAGATCTATAAAAAATAAAATAAAATAAAACACACATGTACACACATCACATTTCCGCAGCTGGGATTCGAACCCGGATCGTCTCGTATCCACGTCCGGACAGAGAAACGTACTGGATGAGCTACTGCGGATTTACGACAACATGAATGCATGAAACAGGTTTTATAAACACCCAAAGTGCGGGCACCTCTAAAGAAATACTAATAAAAATTGCTTCAAACTAGAAAATAACTGTTTATGATTGAGCGGGTTTCTTAAAAATAACAACCTTGATTTGAATGTGAGATCATATTCTTATATTAAGAATAAAGGGTGAGGAACAAAAGAAAAAGTATAAAACATGAAGTTGTCGGAATTCCATCCCAAATCATGTCATATCCGTAGGAAGTTCGAATAGAGAAATTGACCGGATTAGCTACTGTGGATTTACAATGTTTCGGATGAATACAACTACTCTTATAAACACTCTAAGGGCACCTCTAAGCAAGTACTCGATAAAAATCGATTCAAAGGAATAAAGGATGAGTGAAATAAAAAAGGCATATAGCATTCCGATGCTGGGATGCTAACCCGGATCGCCTCGTATTCACACAAAATTCAAAATAGAAAAATTGTCCAAATTAGCTACTGCGGATTTAAAATTTTCGGATCAATAAAACTATGTTTACAAGCACTCTAAGGACACGTGTAAAGAAATACTAACAAAAATCGCTTCAAAACAAGAGTGAATATTTTCTTTGAATAGTGTGAGTTTCTTAAAAGTTTGAAATAATATTCTTTTATTAAGAATATCCAAGGATGGAGGAGGGAGATCTATAAAAAATAAAATAAAATAAAACACACATGTACACACATCACATTTCCGCAGTTAGGATTCGAACCCGGATCGTCTCGTATCCACGTCTGGACAGAGAAACATACCAGATGAGCTACTGCAGATTTACGACAACATGAATGCATGAAACAGGTTTTATAAACACCCAAAGTGCGGGCACCTCTAAAGAAATACTAATAAAAATCGCTTCAAACTAGAAAATAACTCGTTTATGATTGAGCGGGTTTCTTAAAAATAACAACCTTGATTTGAATGTGAGATCATATTCTTATATTAAGAATAAAGGGTGAGGAACAAAAGAAAAAGTATAAAACATGAAAGCTCGCTGGAATTCCATCCCAAATCATGTCATATCCGCAGGAAGTTCGAATAGAGAAATTGACTAGGATTAACTACTGTGGATTTACAATGTTTCAGATGAATACAACTACTCTTATAAACACTCTAAGGGCACCTCTAAGCAAGTACTCGATAAAAATCGATTCAAAGGAATAAAGGATGAGTGAAATAAAAAAGGCATGTAGCATTCCGATGCTGGGATGCTAACCCGGATCGCCTCGTATTCACACAAAATTCAAAATAGAAAAATTGTCCAAATTAGCTACTGCGGATTTAAAATTTTCGGATCAATAAAACTATGTTTACAAGCACTCTAAGGACACGTGTAAAGAAATACTAACAAAAATCGCTTCAAAACAAGAGTGAATATTTTCTTTGAATAGTGTGAGTTTCTTAAAAGTTTGAAATAATATTCTTTTATTAAGAATATCCAAGGATGGAGGAGGGAGATCTATAAAAAATAAAATAAAATAAAACACACATGTACACACATCACATTTCCGCAGCTGGGATTCGAACCCGGATCGTCTCGTATCCACGTCCGGACGAGAGAAACGTACCAGATGAGCTACTGCGATTTACGACAACATGAATGCATGAAACAGGTTTTATAAACACCCAAAGTGCGGGCACCTCTAAAGAAATACTAATAAAAATTGCTTCAAACTAGAAAATAACTGTTTATGATTGAGCGGGTTTCTTAAAAATAACAACCTTGATTTGAATGTGAGATCATATTCTTATATTAAGAATAAAGGGTGAGGAACAAAAGAAAAAGTATAAAACATGAAGCCTGCTGGAATTCCATCCCAAATCATGTCATATCCGCGGGAAGTTCGAATAGAGAAATTGACCGGATTAGCTACTGTGGATTTACAATGTTTCGGATGAATACAACTACTCTTATAAACACTCTAAGGGCACCTCTAAGCAAGTACTGATAAAAATCGATTCAAAGGAATAAAGGATGAGTGAAATAAAAAAGGCATATAGCATTCCGATGCTCGGGATGCTAACCGGATCGCCTCGTATTCACACAAAATTCAAAATAGAAAAATTGTCCAAATTAGCTACTGCGGATTTAAAATTTTCGGATCAATAAAACTATGTTTACAAGCACTCTAAGGACACGTGTAAAGAAATACTAACAAAAATCCCTTCAAAACAAGAGTGAATATTTTCTTTGAATAGTGTGAGTTTCTTAAAAGTTTGAAATAATATTCTTTTATTAAGAATATCCAAGGATGGAGGAGGGAGATCTATAAAAAATAAAATAAAATAAAACACACATGTACACACATCACATTTCCGCAGATTCGGATTCGAACCCAGCATCGTCTCATATCCACGTCTGGACGGAGAAACGTACCGGATGAGCTACTGCAGATTTACGACAATATGAATGCATGAAACAGGTTTTATAAACACCCAAAGTGCGGGCACCTCTAAAGAAATACTAATAAAAATCGCTTCAAACTAGAAAATAATCTGTTTATGATTGAGCGGGTTTCTTAAAAATAACAACCTTGATTTGAATGTGAGATCATATTCTTATATTAAGAATAAAGGGTGAGGAACAAAAGAAAAAGTATAAAACATGAAGCTGCTGGAATTCCATCCCAAATCATGTCATATCCGCAGGAAGTTCGAATAGAGAAATTGACCGGATTAGCTACCGTGGATTTACAATGTTTCGGATGAATACAACTACTCTTATAAACACTCTAAGGGCACCTCTAAGCAAGTACTCGATAAAAAGCGATTCAAAGGAATAAAGGATGAGTGAAATAAAAAAGGCATATAGCATTCCGATGCTCGGGATGCTAACCCGGATCGCCTCGTATTCACACAAAATTCAAAATAGAAAAATTGTCCAAATTAGCTACCGTGGATTTAAAATTTTCGGATCAATAAAACTATGTTTACAAGCACTCTAAGGACACGTGTAAAGAAATACTAACAAAAATCGCTTCAAAACAAGAGTGAATATTTTCTTTGAATAGTGTGAGTTTCTTAAAAGTTTGAAATAATATTCTTTTATTAAGAATATCCAAGGATGGAGGAGGGAGATCTATAAAAAATAAAATAAAATAAAACACACATGTACACACATCACATTTCCGCAACTGGGATTCGAACCCGGATCGTCTCGTATCCACGTCCGGACGAGAGAAATGGACCAGATGAGCTACTACGGATTTACGACAACATGAATGCATGAAACAGGTTTTATAAACACCCAAAGTGCGGGCACCTCTAAAGAAATACTAATAAAAATCGCTTCAAACTAGAAAATAACTCGTTTATGATTGAGCGGGTTTCTTAAAAATAACAACCTTGATTTGAATGTGAGATCATATTCTTATATTAAGAATAAAGGGTGAGGAACAAAAGAAAAAGTATAAAACATGAAGCCGCTGGAATTCCATCCCAAATCATGTCATATCCGTAGCAGAAGTTCGAATAGAGAAATTGACCTGGATTAGCTACTCGTGGATTTACAATGTTTCAGATGAATACAACTACTCTTATAAACACTCTAAGGGCACCTCTAAGCAAGTACCGATAAAAATCGATTCAAAGGAATAAAGGATGAGTGAAATAAAAAAGGCATATAGCATTCCGATGCTAGGATGCTAACCCGATCGCCCTCGTATTCACACAAAATTCAAAATAGAAAAATTGTCCAAATTAGCTACCGCGGATTTAAAATTTTCGGATCAATAAAACTATGTTTACAAGCACTCTAAGGACACGTGTAATATCCGCGGGAAGTTCGAATAGAGAAATTGACCGGATTAGCTACTGTGGATTTACAATGTTTCGGATGAATACAACTACTCTTATAAACACTCTAAGGGCACCTCTAAGCAAGTACTCGATAAAAATCGATTCAAAGGAATAAAGGATGAGTGAAATAAAAAAGGCATATAGCATTCAGATGTCTGGGATGCTAACCCGGATCGCCTCGTATTCACACAAAATTCAAAATAGAAAAATTGTCCAAATTAGCTACCGCGGATTTAAAATTTTTGGATCAATAAAACTATGTTTACAAGCACTCTAAGGACACGTGTAAAGAAATACTAACAAAAATCGCTTCAAAACAAGAGTGAATATTTTCTTTGAATAGTGTGAGTTTCTTAAAAGTTTGAAATAATATTCTTTTATTAAGAATATCCAAGGATGGAGGAGGGAGATCTATAAAAAATAAAATAAAATAAAACACACATGTACACACATCACATTTCCGCAGTTGGATTCGAACCCGGATCGTCTCGTATCCACGTCTGGACGGAGAAACGTACCGGATGAGCTACTGCGGATTTACGACAACATGAATGCATGAAACAGGTTTTATAAACACCCAAAGTGCGGGCACCTCTAAAGAAATACTAATAAAAATCGCTTCAAACTAGAAAATAACTGTTTATGATTGAGCGGGTTTCTTAAAAATAACAACCTTGATTTGAATGTGAGATCATATTCTTATATTAAGAATAAAGGGTGAGGAACAAAAGAAAAAGTATAAAACATGAAGCCACTGGAATTCCATCCCAAATCATGTCATATCCGCGAGAAGTTCGAATAGAGAAATTGACCGGATTAGCTCACTGTGGATTTACAATGTTTCAGATGAATACAACTACTCTTATAAACACTCTAAGGGCACCTCTAAGCAAGTGCCGATAAAAATCGATTCAAAGGAATAAAGGATGAGTGAAATAAAAAAGGCATATAGCATTCCGATGCTCGGGATGCTAACCGGATCGCCTCGTATTCACACAAAATTCAAAATAGAAAAATTGTCCAAATTAGCTACCGCGGATTTAAAATTTTCGGATCAATAAAACTATGTTTACAAGCACTCTAAGGACACGTGTAAAGAAATACTAACAAAAATCGCTTCAAAACAAGAGTGAATATTTTCTTTGAATAGTTTGAGTTTCTTAAAAGTTTGAAATAATATTCTTTTATTAAGAATATCCAAGGATGGAGGAGGGAGATCTATAAAAAAATAAAATAAAATAAAACACACATGTACACACATCACATTTCCGCAGACTGGGATTCTAACCCGAGATCGTCTCGTATCCACGTCACGGGACAGAAACGTACCGGATGAGCTACCGCGGATTTACGACAACATGAATGCATGAAACAGGTTTTATAAACACCCAAAGTGCGGGCACCTCTAAAGAAATACTAATAAAAATCGCTTCAAACTAGAAAATAACTGTTTATGATTGAGCGGGTTTCTTAAAAATAACAACCTTGATTTGAATGTGAGATCATATTCTTATATTAAGAATAAAGGGTGAGGAACAAAAAAAAAGTATAAAACATGAAGCTGCTGGAATTCCATCCCAAATCATGTCATATCCGCAGGAAGTTCGAATAGAGAAATTGACCGGATTAGCTACTATGGATTTACAATGTTTCGGATGAATACAACTACTCTTATAAACACTCTAAGGGCACCTCTAAGCAAGTACTGATAAAAATCGATTCAAAGGAATAAAGGATGAGTGAAATAAAAAAGGCATATAGCATTCGATGCTTGGGATGCTAACCCGGATCGCCTCGTATTCACACAAAATTCAAAATAGAAAAATTGTCCAAATTAGCTACTGCGGATTTAAAATTTTCTGGATCAATAAAACTATGTTTACAAGCACTCTAAGGACACGTGTAAAGAAATACTAACAAAAATCGCTTCAAAACAAGAGTGAATATTTTCTTTGAATAGTGTGAGTTTCTTAAAAGTTTGAAATAATATTCTTTTATTAAGAATATCCAAGGATGGAGGAGGGAGATCTATAAAAAATAAAATAAAATAAAACACACATGTACACACATCACATTTCCGCAACTGGGATTCGAACCCAGATCGTCTCGTATCCACGTCTGGACAGAGAAACGTACCAGATGAGCTACTGCGGATTTACGACAACATGAATGCATGAAACAGGTTTTACAAACACCCAAAGTGCGGGCACCTCTAAAGAAATACTAATAAAAATTGCTTCAAACTAGAAAATAACTATTTATGATTGAGCGGGTTTCTTAAAAATAACAACCTTGATTTGAATGTGAGATCATATTCTTATATTAAGAATAAAGGGTGAGGAACAAAAGAAAAAGTATAAAACATGAAGCTACTGGAATTCCATCCCAAATCATGTCATATCCGCAGGAAGTTCGAATAGAGAAATTGACCGGATTAGCTACTGTGGATTTACAATGTTTCAGATGAATACAACTACTCTTATAAACACTCTAAGGGCACCTCTAAGCAAGTACTGATAAAAATCGATTCAAAGGAATAAAGGATGAGTGAAATAAAAAAGGCATATAGCATTCCGATGCCGGGATGCTAACCGGATCGCCTCGTATTCACACAAAATTCAAAATAGAAAAATTGTCCAAATTAGCTACTGCGGATTTAAAATTTTCGGATCAATAAAACTATGTTTACAAGCACTCTAAGGACACGTGTAAAGAAATACTAACAAAAATCGCTTCAAAACAAGAGTGAATATTTTCTTTGAATAGTGTGAGTTTCTTAAAAGTTTGAAATAATATTCTTTTATTAAGAATATCCAAGGATGGAGGAGGGAGATCTATAAAAAATAAAATAAAATAAAACACACATGTACACACATCACATTTCCGCAGCTGGGATTCGAACCCAGATCGTCTCGTATCCACGTTTGGACAGAGAAATGGACCAGATGAGCTACTACGGATTTACGACAACATGAATGCATGAAACAGGTTTTATAAACACCCAAAGTGCGGGCACCTCTAAAGAAATACTAATAAAAATCGCTTCAAACTAGAAAATAACTGTTTATGATTGAGCGGGTTTCTTAAAAATAACAACCTTGATTTGAATGTGAGATCATATTCTTATATTAAGAATAAAGGGTGAGGAACAAAAGAAAAAGTATAAAACATGAAGCTGCTGGAATTCCATCCCAAATCATGTCATATCCGCAGGAAGTTCGAATAGAGAAATTGACCGGATTAGCTACTGTGGATTTACAATGTTTCAGATGAATACAACTACTCTTATAAACACTCTAAGGGCACCTCTAAGCAAGTACTGATAAAAATCGATTCAAAGGAATAAAGGATGAGTGAAATAAAAAAGGCATATAGCATTCCGATGCTGGGATGCTAACCCGGATCGCCTCGTATTCACACAAAATTCAAAATAGAAAAATTGTCCAAATTAGCTACTGCGGATTTAAAATTTTCGGATCAATAAAACTATGTTTACAAGCACTCTAAGGACACGTGTAAAGGAATACTAACAAAAATCGCTTCAAAACAAGAGTGAATATTTTCTTTGAATAGTGTGAGTTTCTTAAAAGTTTGAAATAATATTCTTTTATTAAGAATATCCAAGGATGGAGGAGGGAGATCTATAAAAAATAAAATAAAATAAAACACACATGTACACACATCACATTTCCGCAGCTGGGATTCGAACCCGGATCGTCTCGTATCCACGTCTGGACGGAGAAATGGACCATATGAGCTACTGCGGATTTACGACAACATGAATGCATGAAACAGGTTTTATAAACACCCAAAGTGCGGGCACCTCTAAAGAAATACTAATAAAAATCGCTTCAAACTAGAAAATAACTGTTTATGATTGAGCGGGTTTCTTAAAAATAACAACCTTGATTTGAATGTGAGATCATATTCTTATATTAAGAATAAAGGGTGAGGAACAAAAGAAAAAGTATAAAACATGAAGCTCGCTGGAATTCCATCCCAAATCATGTCATATCGCAGGAAGTTCGAATAGAGAAATTGACCGGATTAGCTACTGTGGATTTACAATGTTTCGGATGAATACAACTACTCTTATAAACACTCTAAGGGCACCTCTAAGCAAGTACTTGATAAAAATCGATTCAAAGGAATAAAGGATGAGTGAAATAAAAAAGGCATATAGCATTCGACGGATGCTAACCCGGATCGCCTCGTATTCACATAAAATTCAAAATAGAAAAATTGTCCAAATTAGCTACTGCGGATTTAAAATTTTCGGATCAATAAAACTATGTTTACAAGCACTCTAAGGACACGTGTAAAGAAATACTAACAAAAATCGCTTCAAAACAAGAGTGAATATTTTCTTTGAATAGTGTGAGTTTCTTAAAAGTTTGAAATAATATTCTTTTATTAAGAATATCCAAGGATGGAGGAGGGAGATCTATAAAAAATAAAATAAAATAAAACACACATGTACACACATCAAATTTCCGCAGTTGGGATTCGAACCCAGATCGTCTCGTATCCACGTTTGGACAGAGAAATGGACCAGATGAGCTACTGCGGATTTACGACAACATGAATGCATGAAACAGGTTTTATAAACACCCAAAGTGCGGGCACCTCTAAAGAAATACTAATAAAAATCGCTTCAAACTAGAAAATAACTTTTTATGATTGAGCGGGTTTCTTAAAAATAACAACCTTGATTTGAATGTGAGATCATATTCTTATATTAAGAATAAAGGGTGAGGAACAAAAGAAAAAGTATAAAACATGAAGCTATCTGGAATTCCATCCCAAATCATGTCATATCCGCAGGAAGTTCGAATAGAGAAATTGACCGGATTAGCTACGTGGATTTACAATGTTTCAGATGAATACAACTACTCTTATAAACACTCTAAGGGCACCTCTAAGCAAGTCCTGATAAAAATCGATTCAAAGGAATAAAGGATGAGTGAAATAAAAAAGGCATATAGCATTCCGATGCTCGGGATGCTAACCCGGATCGCCTCGTATTCACACAAAATTCAAAATAGAAAAATTGTCCAAATTAGCTACTGCGGATTTAAAATTTTCGGATCAATAAAACTATGTTTACAAGCACTCTAAGGACACGTGTAAAGAAATACTAACAAAAATCGCTTCAAAACAAGAGTGAATATTTTCTTTGAATAGTGTGAGTTTCTTAAAAGTTTGAAATAATATTCTTTTATTAAGAATATCCAAGGATGGAGGAGGGAGATCTATAAAAAATAAAATAAAATAAAACACACATGTACACACATCACATTTCCGCAGCTAGGATTCGAACCCAGATCGTCTCGTATCCACGTCTGGACGAGAGAAATGGACCGGATGAGCTACTGCAGATTTACGACAACATGAATGCATGAAACAGGTTTTATAAACACCCAAAGTGCGGGCACCTCTAAAGAAATACTAATAAAAATCGCTTCAAACTAGAAAATAACTGTTTATGATTGAGCGGGTTTCTTAAAAATAACAACCTTGATTTGAATGTGAGATCATATTCTTATATTAAGAATAAAGGGTGAGGAACAAAAGAAAAAGTATAAAACATGAAGCTGCTGGAATTCCATCCCAAATCATGTCATATCCGCAGGAAGTTCGAATAGAGAAATTGACCGGATTAGCTACTGTGGATTTACAATGTTTCAGATGAATACAACTACTCTTATAAACACTCTAAGGGCACCTCTAAGCAAGTACTGATAAAAATCGATTCAAAGGAATAAAGGATGAGTGAAATAAAAAAGGCATATAGCATTCCGATGCTAACCCGGATCGCCTCGTATTCACACAAAATTCAAAATAGAAAAATTGTCCAAATTAGCTACTGCGGATTTAAAATTTTCGGATCAATAAAACTATGTTTACAAGCACTCTAAGGACACGTGTAAAGAAATACTAACAAAAATCGCTTCAAAACAAGAGTAAATATTTTCTTTGAATAGTGTGAGTTTCTTAAAAGTTTGAAATAATATTCTTTTATTAAGAATATCCAAGGATGGAGGAGGGAGATCTATAAAAAATAAAATAAAATAAAACACACATGTACACACATCACATTTCCGCAGCTGGGATTCGAACCCAGATCGTCTCGTATCCACGTCTGGACAGAGAAACGTACCAGATGAGCTACTGCGGATTTACGACAACATGAATGCATGAAACAGGTTTTATAAACACCCAAAGTGCGGGCACCTCTAAAGAAATACTAATAAAAATCGCTTCAAACTAGAAAATAACTGTTTATGATTGAGCGGGTTTCTTAAAAATAACAACCTTGATTTGAATGTGAGATCATATTCTTATATTAAGAATAAAGGGTGAGGAACAAAAGAAAAAGTATAAAACATGAAGCTGCTGGAATTCCATCCCAAATCATGTCATATCCGCAGGAAGTTCGAATAGAGAAATTGACCGGATTAGCTACTGTGGATTTACAATGTTTCGGATGAATACAACTACTCTTATAAACACTCTAAGGGCACCTCTAAGCAAGTACTTGATAAAAATCGATTCAAAGGAATAAAGGATGAGTGAAATAAAAAAGGCATATAGCATTCCGATGCTTGGGATGCTAACCGGATCGCCTCGTATTCACACAAAATTCAAAATAGAAAAATTGTCCAAATTAGCTACTGCGGATTTAAAATTTTCGGATCAATAAAACTATGTTTACAAGCACTCTAAGGACACGTGTAAAGAAATACTAACAAAAATCGCTTCAAAACAAGAGTGAATATTTTCTTTGAATAGTGTGAGTTTCTTAAAAGTTTGAAATAATATTCTTTTATTAAGAATATCCAAGGATGGAGGAGGGAGATCTATAAAAAATAAAATAAAATAAAACACACATGTACACACATCACATTTCCGCAGCTGGGATTCGAACCCGGATCGTCTCGTATCCACGTCCGGACAGGAGAAATGGACCAGATGAGCTACTGCAGATTTACGACAACATGAATGCATGAAACAGGTTTTATAAACACCCAAAGTGCGGGCACCTCTAAAGAAATACTAATAAAAATCGCTTCAAACTAGAAAATAATTGTTTATGATTGAGCGGGTTTCTTAAAAATAACAACCTTGATTTGAATGTGAGATCATATTCTTATATTAAGAATAAAGGGTGAGGAACAAAAGAAAAAGTATAAAACATGAAGTCTGCTTGGAATTCCATCCCAAATCATGTCATATCCGCAGGAAGTTCGAATAGAGAAATTGACCGGATTAGCTATCGTGGATTTACAATGTTTCAGATGAATACAACTACTCTTATAAACACTCTAAGGGCACCTCTAAGCAAGTACTGATAAAAATCGATTCAAAGGAATAAAGGATGAGTGAAATAAAAAAGGCATATAGCATTCCGATGCTAACCCGGATCGCCTCGTATTCACACAAAATTCAAAATAGAAAAATTGTCCAAATTAGCTACTGCGGATTTAAAATTTTCGGATCAATAATGTTAGAAAAGTAGTTTTAAATCAAGAGGGGGGGTGAATTGATTTTTGAAAGTTTTTCGCAATACACAGATTATCTAATTCGAAAATTAAGTTTCTAAAAATCTTTTTGAATTACCAAGCAATCAAACAATATAAGCGCAGCAACTGAAATTAAAGAGAGAAAGGTTAGGAAAGATTTCACCGGTAATTTTATACTGGTTCACCCAATACCAGGGCTACGTCCAGTCTCCAGCCAAATTCCAGCTGGGTTCCACTAGAATAGATGTTTTACAGACTCACCCTCTTACACCTATTCTAACTCTCCACCAAGAACCAAATTCCAGCTCTTGGAAACCTCTACAACCTCTACACAGCTGCAGAAAACTTGTACCCAAATTCCAGGTACAAAACAGTACAAAAGAATGAATAGAAATTGAAAAGAAGAAACAAAGAAAGCTCAAACCGGATTACACCAATCCACGGTCAGTTTCTTCTTCAAAGAAATGCAAAGTGCCTCAAGAAAGATTCCAAAAGAAGTTTACAAAAACAGTTGTGTATCTTTCTTGAAAAATGCTAATAGTTGTTTGTATTGATTGCTTGAATTGTGTAAAAGCTGATATTCAATCTCTGTTTAAAAGTTTCAAGCAATTTCGTTTATAAAAGAGTATTTTCAAATCTGCTGCATTAATTAATCTGTTGAAAGTTTGTTTTAATCTGTTGAAATAGCCGTTATAATCTGTTAAAAGTCCTTTCAACCCATTAATGCATTCTTGATCTTTAACGAGAAAATGTTTTAGTTGATACAACCATGTTTATATCAGTTAAAACGTTTTACAAACATTTTCTAAGTATAAAACAATCGATTGAATCGCGTATTAATCGATTGATTTGTTTAAAAACCTTCTTATAAAACTTTCGAAGTTATTTTAGCTGATATAAAGTCGTTTCAATCGATTGAAAAACTGCACATATATTTTCAAGTCATTTTAATCGATTGAAAGTTCATTTTAATCGATTGAAAAGATTTTCTAAGTTATTTTAATCGATTGAAATACGTTTTAATCGATTGAAATAAGTCTGATCGGTCATAATTAAATTCTGATCGATCATAACCAACTCTGATCGGTCATAATCTCATTCTGATCGATCATCCTGACATCCAAAGTGATTTTAATCGATTGAAACGTGTTTTAATCGATTAAAATATTTCTGATCGCTCATATATAAGATCTGATCGATTATATTGCATTCTGACCTATTATATTCGAATTCTAATCGGTCATAAAGAGTTTTAATCGATTAAAAGGTTTTTGTATCAATTAAAATGCTGTGAAAACACTTCTATAAACATTCTAAGTGTTTTAAACGTTTCTTTAAAAAACTATATCAGTTAAAACCATTGTTAAGAAGGTTCTTTGTCAAAATGCTTTTGTTTTTGATTTGTTTAAAACTATTTTTGAGGCATTTTGCAAAATGAATGAAGAAGCTTTATGCAGTGGAAAAGGTAAAGTGGTTTTACCTAAGCTTTCTGTTAAGACACACTAAGTCTTCAGCTCCATTCTTCTGAGTGACTTGTTTGACTGCTGCAGAGTTGACCCTTGACTTTATCTTTGACTTCATCAAATCAATGAGATCTTTGCTAGGATCACTTTCAAATAAAACTATGTTTACAAGCACTCTAAGGACACGTGTAAAGAAATACTAACAAAAATCGCTTCAAAACAAGAGTGAATATTTTCTTTGAATAGTGTGAGTTTCTTAAAAGTTTGAAATAATATTCTTTTATTAAGAATATCCAAGGATGGAGGAGGGAGATCTACAAGAGTGAATATTTTCTTTGAATAGTGTGAGTTTCTTAAAAGTTTGAAATAATATTCTTTTATTAAGAATATCCAAGGATGGAGGAGGGAGATCTATAAAAAATAAAATAAAATAAAACACACATGTACACACATCACATTTCCGCAGCTGGGATTCGAACCCAGATCGTCTCGTATCCACGTCTGGACAGAGAAACATACCAGATGAGCTACTGCGGATTTACGACAACATGAATGCATGAAACAGGTTTTATAAACACCCAAAGTGCGGGCACCTCTAAAGAAATACTAATAAAAATCGCTTCAAACTAGAAAATAACTGTTTATGATTGAGCGGGTTTCTTAAAAATAACAACCTTGATTTGAATGTGAGATCATATTCTTATATTAAGAATAAAGGGTGAGGAACAAAAGAAAAAGTATAAAACATGAAGCTGCTGGAATTCCATCCCAAATCATGTCATATCCGCAGGAAGTTCGAATAGAGAAATTGACCGGATTAGCTACTGTGGATTTACAATGTTTTAGATGAATACAACTACTCTTATAAACACTCTAAGGGCACCTCTAAGCAAGTACTGATATAAATCGATTCAAAGGAATAAAGGATGAGTGAAATAAAAAAGGCATATAGCATTCCGATGCTGGGATGCTAACCCGGATCGCCTCGTATTCACACAAAATTCAAAATAGAAAAATTGTCCAAATTAGCTTCCTTAGGATTTAAAATTTTCGGATCAATAAAACTATGTTTACAAGCACTCTAAGGACACGTGTAAAGAAATACTAACAAAAATCGCTTCAAAACAAGAGTGAATATTTTCTTTGAATAGTGTGAGTTTCTTAAAAGTTTGAAATAATATTCTTTTATTAAGAATATCCAAGGATGGAGGAGGGAGATCTATAAAAAATAAAATAAAATAAAACACACATGTACACACATCACATTTCCGCAGCTGGGATTCGAACCCAGATCGTCTCGTATCCACGTCTGGACAGAGAAATGGACCAGATGAGCTACTGCGGATTTACGACAACATGAATGCATGAAACAGGTTTTATAAACACCCAAAGTGCGGGCACCTCTAAAGAAATACTAATAAAAATCGCTTCAAACTAGAAAATAACTGTTTATGATTGAGCGGGTTTCTTAAAAATAACAACCTTGATTTGAATGTGAGATCAAATTCTTATATTAAAAATAAAGGGTGAGGAACAAAAGAAAAAGTATAAAACATGAAGCTGCTGGAATTCCATCCCAAATCATGTCATATCCGCAGGAAGTTCAATAGAGAAATTGACCGGATTAGCTACTGTGGATTTACAATGTTTCAGATGAATACAACTACTCTTATAAACACTCTAAGGGCACCTCTAAGCAAGTACTGATAAAAATCGATTCAAAGGAATAAAGGATTAGTGAAATAAAAAAGGCATATAGCATTCCGATGCTGGGATGCAAACCCGGATCGCCTCGTATTCACACAAAATTCAAAATAGAAAAATTGTCCAAATTAGCTACTGCGGATTTAAAATTTTCGGATCAATAAAACTATGTTTACAAGCACTCTAAGGACACGTGTAAAGAAATACTAACAAAAATCGCTTCAAAACAAGAGTGAATATTTTCTTTGAATAGTGTGAGTTTCTTAAAAGTTTGAAATAATATTCTTTTATTAAGAATATCCAAGGATGGAGGAGGGAGATCTATAAAAAATAAAATAAAATAAAACACACATGTACACACATCACATTTCCGCAGCTGGGATTCGAACCCAGATCGTCTCGTATCCATGTTTGGACAGAGAAATGGACCAGATGAGCTACTGCGGATTTACGACAACATGAATGCATGAAACAGGTTTTAAAAACACCCAAAGTGCGGGCACCTCTAAAGAAATACTAATAAAAATCGCTTCAAACTAGAAAATAACTGTTTATGATTGAGCGGGTTTCTTAAAAATAACAACCTTGATTTGAATGTGAGATCATATTCTTATATTAAGAATAAAGGGTGAGGAACAAAAGAAAAAGTATAAAACATGAAGCTGCTGGAATTCCATCCCAAATCATGTCATATCCGCAGGAAGTTCGAATAGAGAAATTGACCGGATTAGCTACTGTGGATTTACAATGTTTCAGATGAATACAACTACTCTTATAAACACTCTAAGGGCACCTTTAAGCAAGTACTGATAAAAATCGATTCAAAGGAGTAAAGGATGAGTGAAATAAAAAAGGCATATAGCATTCCGATGCTGGGATGCTAACCCGGATCGCCTCGTATTCACACAAAATTCAAAATAGAAAAATTGTCCAAATTAGCTACTGCGGATTTAAAATTTTCGGATCAATAAAACTATGTTTACAAGCACTCTAAGGACACGTGTAAAGAAATACTAACAAAAATCGCTTCAAAACAAGAGTGAATATTTTCTTTGAATAGTGTGAGTTTCTTAAAAGTTTGAAATAATATTCTTTTATTAAGAATATCCAAGGATGGAGGAGGGAGATCTATAAAAAATAAAATAAAATAAAACACACATGTACACACATCACATTTCCGCAGCTGGGATTCAAACCCAGATCGTCTCGTATCCACGTCTGGACAGAGAAATGGACCAGATGAGCTACTGCGGATTTACGACAACATGAATGCATGAAACAGGTTTTATAAACACCCAAAGTGCGGGCACCTCTAAAGAAATACTAATAAAAATCACTTCAAACTAGAAAATAACTGTTTATGATTGAGCGGGTTTCTTAAAAATAACAACCTTGATTTGAATGTTAGATCATATTCTTATATTAAGAATAAAGGGTGAGGAACAAAAGAAAAAGTATAAAACATGAAGTCTGCTGGAATTCCATCCCAAATCATGTCATATCCGCAGGAAGTTCGAATAGAGAAATTGACCGGATTAGCTACCGTGGATTTACAATGTTTCGAGATGAATCCAACTACTCTTATAAACACTCTAAGGGCACCTCTAAGCAAGTACTCGATAAAAATCGATTCAAAGGAATAAAGGATGAGTGAAATAAAAAAGGCATATAGCATTCCGATGCTGGATGCTAACCCGGATCGCCTCGTATTCACACAAAATTCAAAATAGAAAAATTGTCCAAATTAGCTACTGCGGATTTAAAATTTTCGGATCAATAAAACTATGTTTACAAGCACTCTAAGGACACGTGTAAAGAAATACTAACAAAAATCGCTTCAAAATAAGAGTGAATATTTTCTTTGAATAGTGTGAGTTTCTTAAAAGTTTGAAATAATATTCTTTTATTAAGAATATCCAAGGATGGAGGAGGGAGATCTACAAGAGTGAATATTTTCTTTGAATAGTGTGAGTTTCTTAAAAGTTTGAAATAATATTCTTTTATTAAGAATATCCAAGGATGGAGGAGGGAGATCTATAAAAAATAAAATAAAATAAAACACACATGTACACACATCACATTTCCGCAGCTGGGATTCGAACCCAGATCGTCTCGTATCCACGTCTGGACAGAGAAATGGACCAGATGAGCTACTGCGGATTTATGACAACATGAATGCATGAAACAGGTTTTATAAACACCCAAAGTGCGGGCACCTCTAAAGAAATACTAATAAAAATCGCTTCAAACTAGAAAATAACTGTTTATGATTGAGCGGGTTTCTTAAAAATAACAACCTTGATTTGAATGTGAGATCATATTCTTATATTAAGAATAAAGGGTGAGGAACAAAAGAAAAAGTATAAAACATGAAGCTGCTGGAATTCCATCCCAAATCATGTCATATCCGCAGGAAGTTCGAATAGAGAAATTGACCGGATTAGCTACTGTGGATTTACAATGTTTCAGATGAATACAACTACTCTTATAAACACTCTAAGGGCATCTCTAAGCAAGTACTGATAAAAATCGATTCAAAGGAATAAAGGATGAGTGAAATAAAAAAGGCATATAGCATTCCGATGCTAACCCGGATCGCCTCGTATTCACACAAAATTCAAAATAGAAAAATTGTCCAAATTAGCTACTGCGGATTTAAAATTTTCGGATCAATAAAACTATGTTTACAAGCACTCTAAGGACACGTGTAAAGAAATACTAACAAAAATCGCTTCAAAACAAGAGTGAATATTTTCTTTGAATAGTGTGAGTTTCTTAAAAGTTTGAAATAATATTCTTTTATTAAGAATATCCAAGGATGGAGGAGGGAGATCTATAAAAAATAAAATAAAATAAAACACACATGTACACACATCACATTTCCGCAGCTGGGATTCGAACCCAGATCGTCTCGTATCCACGTCTGGACAGAGAAACGTACCAGATGAGCTACTGCGGATTTACGACAACATGAATGCATGAAACAGGTTTTATAAACACCCAAAGTGCGGGCACCTCTAAAGAAATACTAATAAAAATCGCTTCAAACTAGAAAATAACTGTTTATGATTGAGCGGGTTTCTTAAAAATAACAACCTTGATTTGAATGTGAGATCATATTCTTATATTAAGAATAAAGGGTGAGGAACAAAAGAAAAAGTATAAAACATGAAGTCTGCTGGAATTCCATCCCAAATCATGTCATATCCGCAGGAAGTTCGAATAGAGAAATTGACCGGATTAGCTACTGTGGATTTACAATGTTTCAGATGAATACAACTACTCTTATAAACACTCTAAGGGCACCTCTAAGCAAGTACTCGATAAAAATCGATTCAAAGGAATAAAGGATGAGTGAAATAAAAAAGGCATATAGCATTCCGATGCTCGGGATGCTAACCCGGATCGCCTCGTATTCACACAAAATTCAAAATAGAAAAATTGTCCAAATTAGCTACTGCGGATTTAAAATTTTCGGATCAATAAAACTATGTTTACAAGCACTCTAAGGACACGTGTAAAGAAATACTAACAAAAATCGCTTCAAAACAAGAGTGAATATTTTCTTTGAATAGTGTGAGTTTCTTAAAAGTTTGAAATAATATTCTTTTATTAAGAATATCCAAGGATGGAGGAGGGAGATCTATAAAAAATAAAATAAAATAAAACACACATGTACACACATCACATTTCCGCAGCTGGGATTCGAACCCAGATCGTCTCGTATCCACGTCTGGACAGAGAAATGGACCAGATGAGCTACTGCGGATTTACGACAACATGAATGCATGAAACAGGTTTTATAAACACCCAAAGTGCGGGCACCTCTAAAGAAATACTAATAAAAATCGCTTCAAACTAGAAAATAACTGTTTATGATTGAGCGGGTTTCTTAAAAATAACAACCTTGATTTGAATGTGAGATCATATTCTTATATTAAGAATAAAGGGTGAGGAACAAAAGAAAAAGTATAAAACATGAAGCTGCTGGAATTCCATCCCAAATCATGTCATATCCGCAGGAAGTTCGAATAGAGAAATTGACCGGATTAGCTACTGTGGATTTACAATGTTTCAGATGAATACAACTACTCTTATAAACACTCTAAGGGCACCTCTAAGCAAGTACTCGATAAAAATCGATTCAAAGGAATAAAGGATGAGTGAAATAAAAAAGGCATATAGCATTCGATGCTGGATGCTAACCCGGATCGCCTCGTATTCACACAAAATTCAAAATAGAAAAATTGTCCAAATTAGCTACTGCGGATTTAAAATTTTCGGATCAATAAAACTATGTTTACAAGCACTCTAAGGACACGTGTAAAGAAATACTAACAAAAATCGCTTCAAAACAAGAGTGAATATTTTCTTTGAATAGTGTGAGTTTCTTAAAAGTTTGAAATAATATTCTTTTATTAAGAATATCCAAGGATGGAGGAGGGAGATCTATAAAAAATAAAATAAAATAAAACACACATGTACACACATCACATTTCCGCAGCTGGGATTCGAACCCGGATCGTCTCGTATCCACGTCCTGGACGAGAAATGTACCGGATGAGCTACTGCGGATTTACGACAACATGAATGCATGAAACAGGTTTTATAAACACCCAAAGTGCGGGCACCTCTAAAGAAATACTAATAAAAATCGCTTCAAACTAGAAAATAACTGTTTATGATTGAGCGAGTTTCTTAAAAATAACAACCTTGATTTGAATGTGAGATCATATTCTTATATTAAGAATAAAGGGTGAGGAACAAAAGAAAAAGTATAAAACATGAAGTCGCTGGAATTCCATCCCAAATCATGTCATATCCGCATGAAGTTCGAATAGAGAAATTGACCGGATTAGCTACTGTGGATTTACAATGTTTTAGATGAATACAACTACTCTTATAAACACTCTAAGGGCACCTCTAAGCAAGTACTCGATAAAAATCGATTCAAAGGAATAAAGGATGAGTGAAATAAAAAAGGCATATAGCATTCCGATGCTGGGATGCTAACCCGGATCGCCTCGTATTCACACAAAATTCAAAATAGAAAAATTGTCCAAATTAGCTTCCTTAGGATTTAAAATTTTCGGATCAATAAAACTATGTTTACAAGCACTCTAAGGACACGTGTAAAGAAATACTAACAAAAATCGCTTCAAAACAAGAGTGAATATTTTCTTTGAATAGTGTGAGTTTCTTAAAAGTTTGAAATAATATTCTTTTATTAAGAATATCCAAGGATGGAGGAGGGAGATCTATAAAAAATAAAATAAAATAAAACACACATGTACACACATCACATTTCCGCAGCTGGGATTCGAACCCAGATCGTCTCGTATCCACGTCTGGACGGAGAAATGGACCAGATGAGCTACTGCGGATTTACGACAACATGAATGCATGAAACAGGTTTTATAAACACCCAAAGTGCGGGCACCTCTAAAGAAATACTAATAAAAATCGCTTCAAACTAGAAAATAACTGTTTATGATTGAGCGAGTTTCTTAAAAATAACAACCTTGATTTGAATGTGAGATCATATTCTTATATTAAGAATAAAGGGTGAGGAACAAAAGAAAAAGTATAAAACATGAAGTCGCTGGAATTCCATCCCAAATCATGTCATATCCGCAGGAAGTTCGAATAGAGAAATTGACCGGATTAGCTACTGTGGATTTACAATGTTTCGGATGAATACAACTACTCTTATAAACACTCTAAGGGCACCTCTAAGCAAGTACTCGATAAAAATCGATTCAAAGGAATAAAGGATGAGTGAAATAAAAAAGGCATATAGCATTCCGATGTCGGGATGCTAACCCGGATCGCCTCGTATTCACACAAAATTCAAAATAGAAAAATTGTCCAAATTAGCTACTGCGGATTTAAAATTTTCGGATCAATAAAACTATGTTTACAAGCACTCTAAGGACACGTGTAAAGAAATACTAACAAAAATCGCTTCAAAACAAGAGTGAATATTTTCTTTGAATAGTGTGAGTTTCTTAAAAGTTTGAAATAATATTCTTTTATTAAGAATATCCAAGGATGGAGGAGGGAGATCTATAAAAAATAAAATAAAATAAAACACACATGTACACACATCACATTTCCGCAGCTGGGATTCGAACCCGGATCGTCTCGTATCCACGTCTGGACGGAGAAATGGACCAGATGAGCTACTGCGGATTTACGACAACATGAATGCATGAAACAGGTTTTATAAACACCCAAAGTGCGGGCACCTCTAAAGAAATACTAATAAAAATCGCTTCAAACTAGAAAATAACTGTTTATGATTGAGCGAGTTTCTTAAAAATAACAACCTTGATTTGAATGTGAGATCATATTCTTATATTAAGAATAAAGGGTGAGGAACAAAAGAAAAAGTATAAAACATGAAGCTGCTGGAATTCCATCCCAAATCATGTCATATCCGCAGGAAGTTCGAATAGAGAAATTGACCTGGATTAGCTACCGTGGATTTACAATGTTTCGATGAATACAACTACTCTTATAAACACTCTAAGGGCACCTCTAAGCAAGTACTCGATAAAAATCGATTCAAAGGAATAAAGGATGAGTGAAATAAAAAAGGCATATAGCATTCCGATGCTGGGATGCTAACCCGGATCGCCTCGTATTCACACAAAATTCAAAATAGAAAAATTGTCCAAATTAGCTACCACGGATTTAAAATTTTCGGATCAATAAAACTATGTTTACAAGCACTCTAAGGACACGTGTAAAGAAATACTAACAAAAATCGCTTCAAAACAAGAGTGAATATTTTCTTTGAATAGTGTGAGTTTCTTAAAAGTTTGAAATAATATTCTTTTATTAAGAATATCCAAGGATGGAGGAGGGAGATCTATAAAAAATAAAATAAAATAAAACACACATGTACACACATCACATTTCCGCAGCTGGGATTCAAACCCAGATCGTCTCGTATCCACGTCTGGACAGAGAAATGTACCAGATGAGCTACTCGCGGATTTACGACAACATGAATGCATGAAACAGGTTTTATAAACACCCAAAGTGCGGGCACCTCTAAAGAAATACTAATAAAAATCACTTCAAACTAGAAAATAACTGTTTATGATTGAGCGGGTTTCTTAAAAATAACAACCTTGATTTGAATGTTAGATCATATTCTTATATTAAGAATAAAGGGTGAGGAACAAAAGAAAAAGTATAAAACATGAAGTCGCTGGAATTCCATCCCAAATCATGTCATATCCGCAGGAAGTTCGAATAGAGAAATTGACCCGATTAGCTACTGTGGATTTACAATGTTTCAGATGAATCCAACTACTCTTATAAACACTCTAAGGGCACCTCTAAGCAAGTACTGATAAAAATCGACTCAAAGGAATAAAGGATGAGTGAAATAAAAAAGGCATATAGCATTCCGATGCGGGGATGCTAACCCAGATCGCCTCGTATTCACACAAAATTCAAAATAGAAAAATTGTCCAAATTAGCTACTGCGGATTTAAAATTTTCGGATCAATAAAACTATGTTTACAAGCACTCTAAGGACACGTGTAAAGAAATACTAACAAAAATCGCTTCAAAATAAGAGTGAATATTTTCTTTGAATAGTGTGAGTTTCTTAAAAGTTTGAAATAATATTCTTTTATTAAGAATATCCAAGGATGGAGGAGGGAGATCTATAAAAAATAAAATAAAATAAAACACACATGTACACACATCACATTTCCGCAGCTGGGATTCGAACCCAGATCATCTCGTATCCACGTCTGGACAGAGAAATGTACCAGATGAGCTACTGCGGATTTATGACAACATGAATGCATGAAACAGGTTTTATAAACACCCAAAGTGCGGGCACCTTTAAAGAAATACGAATAAAAATCGCTTCAAACTAGAAAATAATTGTTTATGATTGAGCGAGTTTCTTCAAAATAACAACCTTGATTTGAATGTGAGATATATTCTTATATTAAGAATAAAGGGTGAGGAACAAAAGAAAAAGTATAAAACATGAAGTTGCTGGAATTCCATCCCAAATCATGTCATATCCGCACGAAGTTCGAATAGAGAAATTGACCGGATTAGCTACTGTGGATTTACAATGTTTCAGATGAATTCAACTACTCTTATAAACACTCTAAGGGCACCTCTAAGCAAGTACTGATAAAAATCGATTCAAAGGAATAAATGATGAGTGAAATAAAAAAGGCATATAGCATTCCGATGCTAACCCAGATCGCCTCGTATTCACACAAAATTCAAAATAGAAAAATTGTCCAAATTAGCTACTGCGGATTTAAAATTTTCGGATCAATAAAACTATGTTTACAAGCACTCTAAGGACACGTGTAAAGAAATACTAACAAAAATCGCTTCAAAACAAGAGTGAATATTTTCTTTGAATAGTGTGAGTTTCTTAAAAGTTTGAAATAATATTCTTTTATTAAGAATATCCAAGGATGGAGGAGGGAGATCTATAAAAAATAAAATAAAATAAAACACACATGTACACACATCACATTTCCGCAGCTGGGATTCGAACCCAAATCGTCTCGTATCCACGTCTGGACAGAGAAATGTACCAGATGAGCTACTGCGGATTTACGACAACATGAATGCATGAAACAGGTTTTATAAACACCCAAAGTGCGGGCACCTCTAAAGAAATACTAATAAAAATCGCTTCAAACTAGAAAATAACTGTTTATGATTGAGCGAGTTTCTTAAAAATAACAACCTTGATTTGAATGTGAGATCATATTCTTATATTAAGAATAAAGGGTGAGGAACAAAAGAAAAAGTATAAAACATGAAGTCAGCTGAATTCCATCCCAAATCATGTCATATCCGCAGGAAGTTCGAATAGAGAAATTGACCCGATTAGCTACTGTGGATTTACAATGTTTCAGATGAATCCAACTACTCTTATAAACACTCTAAGGGCACCTCTAAGCAAGTACTGATAAAAATCGACTCAAAGGAATAAAGGATGAGTGAAATAAAAAAGGCATATAGCATTCCGATGCTAACCCGGATCGCCTCGTATTCACACAAAATTCAAAATAGAAAAATTGTCCAAATTAGCTACTGCGGATTTAAAATTTTCGGATCAATAAAACTATGTTTACAAGCACTCTAAGGACACGTGTAAAGAAATACTAACAAAAATCGCTTCAAAACAAGAGTGAATATTTTCTTTGAATAGTGTGAGTTTCTTAAAAGTTTGAAATAATATTCTTTTATTAAGAATATCCAAGGATGGAGGAGGGAGATCTATAAAAAATAAAATAAAATAAAACACACATGTACACACATGACATTTTCGCAGCTGCGATTCAAACCCAGATCGTCTCGTATCTAGGTATGGACAGAGAAATGTACCAGATGAGCTACTGCGGATTTACGACAACATGAATGCATGAAACAGGTTTTATAAACACCCAAAGTGCGGGCACCTCTAAAGAAATACTAATAAAAATCGCTTCAAACTAGAAAATAAATGTTTATGATTGAGCGAGTTTCTTCAAAATAACAACCTTGATTTGAATGTGAGATCATATTCTTATATT